CTGAGTATCAATTTTTCGAATAGCTTCGAGATGGAGGACAAGAGGCTGATGGGGCGATAGCTTTTGGCACTGGTAGGGTCTTTGCCAGGTTTGTGAATTGGAATAACTTTGGCTAACTTCCAGCATGCAGGGAAGTAGCCAAGCATTAAACACTTGTTGAAGACCACTGCAAGGTGCTTGAAGAAGTCAACACTCAAGTTTTTCAGCTCGAGGTTGACCACTCCATCGACACCAGCGGCCTTCATGTTCTTTGTTGATTTAATCGCTGCTAATACCTCATCAGCCGATATTCTACTTTCATCAGGGACAACTACGGGGGTGGCAGTGACTCTAGCCATTGCCTGTGATACTGCAGGCTCGTGGGGACTCACCATGGCGTGGCCAAGGTTATGTGAATTTACAAAGTGTTGCCCAAGAGCATTGGCCTTTTCAAATGGGGTTATTAGTAAAGATGGGTCCGAATTTTGGTTAGGAGAGGAAAGGGGAGGAATGGGCCTCGGCTTATTTTTCAAAATCGTTGCCATTTTCCAGAATGGCTTAGCGCAATCTGGGAGAGAGCGAATCTTGTTTGCAAAATCGATATTTTTGAGATCCACCATCCTGGCTTGGATGATTTTGTTCAAACGGTTGCAATTGGTATTCAGGTTAGGCAGCCCAGAACGCTGGTACTGCCTACGGATCGTGTTGCGGAGTCTAATGAGGTCTTTAGTAGGCCTGTCAAGGTTCAGAGTGTTACTCACCTGTCTGGATACTGGCACATGTAGCTCCCTGGCCCGGGAAATTGCTTGATCGATGGAGCGCAGACACCGGTCAACATCTTCGGACGATTCCGGTTGGACATCGTAGTCTACAGCGGTGTCGACGCAATGTTGGAACTGACCCCAGTCAACACGATGATAGTTGCGCCGGAAAGCTTCAAATCGATTTACGGAGGATCCCACCTCAGTCACCACCGGGTAGTGGTCCGAGCTGAGTTCCTGATAGGTGATAGGTTGAGCGATGTTGTTGCCCATGTTGCTGATGAAGATATCGATGGTAGCGTGAACACCGGACCGACTCAACCGGGTGGGAGTTTCCGGACTCAAGATGTTGTACTGCGCTTCCTGCAGGTCGTTGTTCAGGATGGTGCCGTTTTGATTGCGCCGATTGTTGCCCCAAGCTTGATGTTTGGCGTTCAGGTCGCCAGCGATGATAAAGTTTTCCCGTCGTCGTGTTAGCTTGATAATATCTCGTCGCAGATCTGCTGCCGATCCGTCCCTGATGTTGACTTGTTTGGGGCAGTAAGCCGCGACGATGGTGATGGGGCCGATAGGAGTAGAAACATCCACCCCTACGGCTTCGATGATCTTCAGCTGAAAGCTGGGCATCAGTCGACAGCAGATGTTTCTCCTTATTGCAATAGCCACTCCTCCTCCTCCAGAGTTGGTTCGATCTAGCCTCACGAGCCGGAAATCGGGAAGGTAGACGTTTGTTTCAGGCTTCAGGTGGGTTTCAGTTATGATGGCAATGTCGATGTTTCGTTCATTGAGAAACTCAACAAACTCGATGTTTTTGCTCTTCAAGGAGCAAGCGTTCCAATTTACGATCTTGATGGCTTCACGGTCCATACTTAGTGACAAGGGACAGGGCAGCATGAAGCTGTTCAGATCGAGTCTTGCAGGTGCGCAAGATGATGATGACCTCGGCCACGAGCTTCACAAGTTCCTCCGAGGAGAACGGAGAATCGTCGACAGGCTCACCTGAGACAACACCAGCGTATGATAAACCAGGGGCGGTGGAGGGACCTGGCATTGGCTGGGCAGCAGCAGCAGCGAGACGATGCTGGACTGTTCGATTGTTAGGAATACTCACATGCTTGACTTGTTGGTTGTTGAGCGGAAGTGGTTCTAAGTTCGGAACATGTCGACGGGGCTGGAGAGCTGGGTACTGGACTTCCGTGCGTGCAGGGGCGAACGATGATTACGGAGGCGATTACCGGGCTGATTATTGATCGTAGCCTTCCGACGGATATTGATGAACTTCACTCGCTTGGGACATCCGCGATTGGAGGCTTGGTGGTTACCACCGCAGTTGACACACGTTGGCTCGATGTCATCATCTTGCTCACAGGACGCAGTCGAGTGAGTTCCAGCACACTTGCCGCAGATAGTCTTCATATGGCAGTTTTTGGTGCCATGGCCGTAGGAGAGGCAGTTCATACACTGCGTAACATCACGATGTTGGGATTTGTAATGTTCCCAACTGATGATGACCTGAAACAGGTCCCGGATTTTGGATCTCAGAGCCGCTAGACTGGTGGATCCCTTCGTGAAGTGCACCAGGAACAACTGGTCACGGAAGCTGGTGTTGTGGTTGGAACGCCGGTTTATTGGGAACACCGCCTCAGGTTTGAGCCCAAGCCGCTCCAGCTCGGACTTAACCACAGCCGCCTCGAACGACGGTAATCCACGCAATACCAGCTTCAGTGGCTTGCTCGATGGCAGATCGTGCGTGAAGAAGTCAACGTTGTTTTCCTTTAGGAAACATCCTGTTTGATTGTACTCCTCCAGGCTGGAGCACATGATTTTGGTGCCGATGCTGCAAAGCTTGAAGCGAGGCAGCAGCTTGTGTTTTGCCAGTTCGGCACGCAGCTTGGCAACATCCTTCTCCGGCGTGAAAAGCGGGGGAATCCGCTCTCTTGCAGCGATGGGAACGACGTCACCATCGCCATTTTCTTCGGGGAGCACCGCAAACTGGTTGGCTTGCAGTACCCGTTTTCCGGCGTCATCCTGCGACGCGCTGTGCTGGATTACCACCTTCTTTGAAGGGCCCGCTGCTGAATCATTGGTACGTTTACGCACCATTTGTTTCGTGTTGGCAAGTTGTAGTAAACTTGCCAGAACGCGCGAAGGAGGCGACGCTTCCACGGCGCAACGCGACAGCACAAACCGAATCGAAGCGAGAACTCGAGCGAAAAAGAAAACGAACTGAACAGCTCAACAGTCGAAAATTCAGTTTGCCTAATGGGTGCCACTTTTATAGGAGCGCGCTGTCTGCGCATGGTGATATGGACGTCGCTGATTGGTTAGTGTTGTTTGTCGCTGTTCGTCAGCGGCGATTGTCAAGATGGTTGGTTCACTTTCGGCGGAGACGGAACAGAGATTTTTAGCCTTAGGCTAGTTCATCTCTAAATCTAATCTAAGTAGGACGTGCGAAAAGTTTTTTCTCAAGAATGTTGTTTACCCCCTGACGATAATAGAATAAGGTATTGCCGAAGCCGTCATTTACCCTAAGTCAGTAACTCATTAACTGACAAAACTAGTTTTATTTCTAGAGAATCGAAGCAACGTAATATTTGGAGTGAAATCCAGGCGATGTCAAAAAGAACCGAATTCCATAATTGCAACAGGTGAGTCGGTTTGTTTAACAGCGTTCGGTAATACTTGAGTAAGCCGATGTTCGAATATTCCTGGTCCTGGAAAGGTCGATAGTTCCTTCACAGACAAACAGACGTAACTCTTTGATTTTTTTTTTTTTTTTGAAAGCAGTATCTCAAAACATAGGACCTCAGTAACGACATTTCTCGGGCATCTCGCGGAAAACAAGCTTGCTCGCTAACTCGTAAACAATATTGTTTAAAAGTTCTATAGAATGTATAGAAACGTCAAAGTGATCCGATGCCAGCGCTGCGGTGCTGCTCGCGGAACTGATAATATTCAAATCAACCGTTAAATGCGTGAACGAAGATACAGAATGAAGTGTTACGTCTGTTTGTCTGTGGTTCCTTCTTGAACCAAACAGTTGAAGAAAAATTCGATATTTATTAAAATCAAAAAATCCCTTTCAGTTAGCCCAGTTAGCTAACGTTTAGTGTAGTCGCTTAGCTGGCCCACGCAAACTAACACCCCAACCAACACTGGAAGCAGCGTAAGAGCTCATTCAGGCAAAAATATGCTTCTTTTGCTGAAAAAATACTAATTCAGCAATTAATCAGTTCAAATTGTTTGTTGGGACCACCATTACGTATAGAAAGCTTGTTATTTTGCGTGGAAGAGCTAAAAGGTTAGACAAATTGACGTTTGAAACTTTGTTTACGGCTATTTGGCTATTTGTTTACTCTTGTTATGAGAGTTCTCGCGTCACTTTTCAAAAGGTCCTTAGTAACTATTGCTCTTCTATCATTGTATGTGATACAAAAACATCCATCCAAATTTACTTTTATTTATTTAAGAAAATCATTGATCAAATATTGTCCAATGTACAGTTTGAAATGATGGGTAAATGATTGTTACTTCGGTCAGGCAGTCCTAACATGATTGGTGCTCATTTTCCAAAGGCGGGGCCAATCAAAAGTTAGGTACTATACTCTGAAATCTGTGAAAGGGCATCTAATTAATTAATTTATCTTTATTAGGCAGGCTTTCAGCCTTGGGCTGGTTCGCCTTAAAGGGAATCTAGTATCATGTAGACAAAACGTCCAATGTAACACTCATTGATTATGTCATTGAGAAAAATCGTCCAATGTAACAGGTCCGATGTACAACTCGTCTTGTCAAAACGTCCTATGTGGTTTTTTCTATGTTGTAGCATGAAATTCAAAGTAAAATTGTGATTTTGCCGTTTCTTTTGAATTTTCAACGTTATTATACACTGACTACATTAAAAATAGTATTGCAAAATGTATTGTTTTTAAACAGTTAAATTAATAATCTGTCGAACTTCAACTTCGATTTTCTTAAAATGGTGGATATGTTACATTGATGTATTTGAAAAGTGACGCGAGAGTTTTGGTTTTTCAATTTTGGCCATTTTCTGAATTATATACTCCTTTGTGCGACTGGTACCACTCGACAAATCATATCCGGTGCAATCGCTATTCGACCAAGCTATCCTATACCTGTTTATGTTTCTCAGTGTGCTCCGCGGATAACTCAGTTGTTCACAGATTCTCTCTCACTCGCATCTTCTCAGTGCTCTCGTTTTTTTCACTCGTTTCGCAGTCCACCTGTGACATTTGATTCGCGTACATTGAAATTTATTAGTCGTCATCGATTAGTGTTTGATCAAAAAATTAGTTTTGTTTACATTACTCTTATCATTGTTGAAAAAAAAACATAGTTTGAAGAACATATTTTTGACGAAAAGAGTGTACGCGAGCATTGCCAACACCAAACGGTTGGTTGAGGAATGATTTTATAGGATTGTTCAACTCCAGCAAACAAACAACAAAAGTCGCTGATTGACAAAGGATTACGCTACAAGTTAATCAAGAAGAGGAGCAAACATTCCAAGGTTTCAGCAAAAAAGATTGAAGGTAAGTGCGTATATATTTAGCTGATAATTTGGCATAGCGAAAAAAATGGGGTGGAACTCCTTATCAGTAAATTCTGTCGGATTGATTTTTTTTTGTTCAGCTTGTTCTAGTTAGAAAGGGCAACTGAGTCAGTTAACTGGACAGCTCTTCTTGTATGGGTTAGGGTGGTGGGGAAAATCGGTGTCATCTACTGCTGGCTGCCTCTGTATGCTGCATTTGTATACATAAGGTTTTTGCTTGGTTAATTTATTCAATATCAGTATTCTGCTACTGACTGTCACGTTGTATGTGGGGCGATTGATTCATCGTCGGTTGCACACATAATCAGTGCAGAAAAGGCGTCATCATTATTTAGAATATCTGTTCGCTGCTGGCTGCCCGCATCAGTTGATTATCACTGCTTCATACGAATTGTGTCTGCTTTCTTCTTTCTATAGGGACTACTGGAGAAGGCGATCTGTTGTCGTCGTGAGGGGGAGGTATGCCAAGACTGTACGATGAGGATGAAGCACGAAGACCGATCCTCCAGCCGGACACGGACAGTGAGGATCCGCCAACTGGATCGAGAATTTTGCGCCGAAGCGACGACGATGAGCTGAGTGAGGGAAGGTCCGGCTGTGGGACCAGTGCTTGCTGTAATCCCAGTTCTGCCCTGCATCGCTTTATGGCGCTGATCTTGATGTGCCTTGTTGGATTCGGTGAGTTTTTCTTAGTAGTTCATTGTTTTGACTCAATTACCTGTTTTATTATGGCGAAGTTGCGAACTATGTGCGTTTGCATCCGAACGTACCATGATTGATTATTTTTCCCCCTTTGTGCTTCATCGCGACGCGTGCTACTACAGGATCGTACTTCTGTTATGATAACCCGGGAGCACTGCAGGACAAGTTCAAGTCTGATCTGGATCTTTCGACGTCACAGTTCGTGTGGCTCTACTCGATCTACTCGTGGCCAAATGTGATTCTATGTTTCATCGGTGGCTTTCTAATCGATCGGGTGTTTGGCATCCGGTTGGGGACCATCATCTACATGTTCATCCTGCTTATTGGTCAGCTGATCTTCGCCACCGGTGGACTCATAAATCAGTTCTGGTTGATGATCCTGGGACGCTTCCTGTTCGGGTGAGTACGCATAACGTTGTTGAATGTTGGAATCGTTTCACTTTATCTTGCTATTTCCAGTATTGGCGCGGAATCGTTGGCGGTCGCGCAGAATAACTATGCCGTCCTGTGGTTCAAGGGGAAGGAACTGAACATGGTGTTTGGGTTACAGCTTTCATTCGCCCGTGTTGGCAGCACCGTCAACTTCCTTGTCATGGTTCCCGTCTACAAGTACGTCCGAAGTCTCGGCTACGAAGGCCATCAATGCATGGGTGTTGTCCTCTTGTTGGCAACCCTAACTTGTGTGATGTCGATGCTTTGTGCGTTGATTCTCGGCTGGATGGATAAGCGAGCTGCCCGAATTCTACGTCGCAACGATAATCCTCCGAACGGAGAGGTAGCCAAGCTTTCCGATATTAGAACATTCAAAACTTCCTTCTGGATGGTGACGGTCATTTGCGTCGCGTACTACGTGGCCATTTTCCCCTTCATTGCCTTGGGCAAAGTATTTTTTATGAGAAAGTTTGATTTCACTCCGGAAGATGCCAACACGGTGAATTCGATTGTATACATTGTAGCTGGTGTTGCGAGCCCTATCTTTGGATTGCTAGTGGACCGAACCGGAAGAAATGTCCTGTGGGTGTTCATATCGATCTTGGTCACAATGGTGGCCCATGGTCTGCTGGCTTTCACATTCTACAATCCATACATTGCCATGATTACGATGGGAATGGCGTATTCCATGTTGGCCAGTAGTCTCTGGCCACTGGTGGCGTTGATTGTCCCGGAGTATCAACTGGGCACGGCCTATGGAATGTAAGTTCGAACTAACCACGCTTACGTTTATTGTGTTTAATCATTTAATTGTTTTTGCAGTTGCCAGTCGGTGCAGAACCTCGGATTGGCCGTTATCTCCATGTTTTCGGGTTTGATTGTCGACAAAGGTGGCTACTTCATGCTGGAAATATTCTTCATTGGTTGGCTAGTTGGTAAGATCGAATCATTTCTACTTCGATTTCCCGATTCATGTGTTTGTGTTGTGTTGGTTTCAGTTTCGCTTCTGGCTACCATTGTCATCTGGCTGTACAATTCCAACAACAACGGTGTTCTCAACATGTCCCCTGCGGAGCGTGAGCTGTACACTAGTAAACTGTAAGTATATCTCCTTTCATTCCAGCAAGAATTACTGACTCTGAAAATGTTGCATTTTATCTAGAATGAGCGATTATGAAACATTTTGAGGGCTGGTTCGGCAAACGGATGGGAAGTTTCCGTTCTATTTCGTTATACATAGTTAGGGCATGGCGGGGCTAGGATGGGTCACCTAAAAATCACGCACTGTATATTTTTTTAAATATATTTTTCAAATAGTTGTTATTTGCATGCTAATCGTTATATAGTTCTATATTATTATTAGCGTATTCAATATTTTTGGAATAAAATATTTTTGACAAAACTTCTTTCCAACTCTTATTTTTATGGCATTGAAAATATGTCAGTAACTTTTGTCGTTTTTGATTCTCTTTACTAAAAATGGACATTTAATGTTCGGATTCATCGGTGTGCCCGTCAATACCGTTAGTAGTTCCAACGAATGCGAGTAATTGACAGCAAACCATCCTTTGACTGTCGACAAATCCCGTGTAACAGTAGCGCTACGCTGGGAGCAAATGTAGATCCATCGCGAAAAATTAGCAAGTTTGCAAACCCCCCATATTTAGGTTGACATCTTTGCTATCAAATGAATTAGAAACTTTTACCTTTGAGCGGTAGATGGCGAGATTGTGGCTATTTCTTAATGTTTATATGAAAAGCGTGAGAGTGGTCAGTATTTTTGATAAGATATTTTCGATTAAATTTAACTTCAAATTATTTTGGCTACAGTTCAACATAATCGTTAGTCGTTTTTTTTGCAGTCGTTCATCCCCCAAAACCGTGTAGCTTCACATACAGGCAGTAATCGTATCGCGGTCGGATGAAACCTTGACCCAAGATGTTGGAACACAAGATTCAATGAGTATTGAATCTTGTGTTCCAAGTATATGAGTATTGAATCTTGTGTTCCAACATTTTGGGAACTGTTTTAACCCATAAAATGATCGCTTCAGCAGACTAACTCTACCAGGCTTGGCTCTAACTTCATCCGGTACTTGCATGTACACCTTTTCCTCCAGTTTTTCGTTCAGAAAGGCTATACGGACGTCCATTTGGTGGATTTCCAGTCCTTTTGTGTTCGCAATAACCAGAACCGTTCGGATTGTGTTCAGTTTGGCCATTGGAGCAAACGTTTCCTCATAATTCCGCTGCACACAGCCTTTCGCCACTAGCCTTGCCTTGTAACGGATTGGATTTCCAGCAGCGTCCGTCTTCAACGTGAATACTGCCGATCCTACTTCGTTCCCTGCCACTTCGGGTATTCCGCAAGGTAGCCACCTCGGCCCGTTGATATTTCTTGTGTATTTCAACGACGTCAATTTCGTTCTCGATGGTCCACGATTGTCGTTCGCAAACGACATGAAAATCTATTTCCGAATCCGAGCCATCGCTGACTCTTCTCCAACTCCAACTCAACGCTTTTGCTAATTGGTGCCAACTGAACCGCATGGTTGTAAATCCAACAAAATGTTCAGTAATCACATTAAGGATCTGGGAGTCATCTTAGATTGTCAACTCACATACAGCCAGCATATCTCGTACGTGATCAACAAGGCAACCAGAACGCTCGGCTTCATTTTCAGGATAGCTAAAAGTTTCACGGACATCTACTGTTTGAAGTCGCTACTGCTGCCCTGTATGGAATCCCAATTATCAAAACAGTGTACAAAGAGTAGAGTCTATTCAACGACGATTCCCTTGGAGGGATCTTCATCGCCTTCCAAGCTACGAAAGTCGGTGCCAGTTAATTGGGTTCTTTAGGGGTTTTAAGGTAATTAGATATTCGTAATCAACATCACAAATGGAACCGAAATCCAAAATTTCATCAATTTTGGAGCACTGGAACTGTTTTAAATAAGTGTGATTACATAAGCAAAAATCACCATCTTAGCGCCCCTCGGTGGTACTTTGTATGGGAGTGAACTGTCAATATGTTAGTTTTGTGTCAAACAGTTAAGTGATTAGTTTGCTTTAAATCTTTATTTAAAAATCAAGAGAGAAGTAAATGGGATCGAAAAAAAATCGTTGTGCTCAGAAAACGAAGCCCTTCTCGATGATGTATAGAAACCGATGTATTTTTCAAAATGAAATAACCCAATTCACCTAGATCCTTTGTGGAGTCGAAAAGATACGACAAGGGCCCTGTTTGTGGCAGACATTCTACAGGGCAGAATCGATTTTCCTTCTATTCTACAACAAATCGACGTTAACGTTCAACCACGAGCACTCCGTAACAACGCAATGCTGAGGATACCTTTTCGTCATCGAGGACAGGACTAGCATCCACCCCAAGGGTCAAGTTAGTCATTCTGCCCTCCAAAGGGTATCCGGCATAAATACTCATCCCCTCCATCCTTTGTCTCTGGTCCATAACCGTCGTCCCTTTCTCTGACCCATGGATTCCGATCGCGCTAATCTATCTAAATATCAGCGACAACGCCTCGCAAATCCGCTAACCACTCCCCGATTCGCAACCCATCAGCAGCAGAAGAAGAAGCTTAACTCCGGCACTCCGTCTATCGGCGTTGACGGCACCGTCGAAAAATCGTGTCTTCTAGAAAAGATTGACAGTTTCTTATAGAATTTTTCGGTGGAGTGAAAGGATAGTACGCATAGTACAAAGTCCGCTATGTTCCATGCACAGTCTGACGTTTGCTTATGGATTTTACCCACCAACCATTTCGTTAATTTTCTTTAATTTTCTATACATCGATCTTCAAAGCTATTCATAAGAAAAATCGATATCATCACCATTTCATGAATAATTGTAAAGATGCTATAAGTCTAATCGTGAATCTTTTATAAAGATCTTTCTCAAAATATTGCTACCAATCGTTACCAATGTTAAAATATCGATTGTGTTGCCAGATCAAAATATCGATACACAACTGCTGATTTTATTTGTGATTTTTTATCTGCATAATTTCTAGTTTCGATCCCATGCCATCTGGGGTGTACTGATTTCGTTGTGGGTTGCTTATCCTCGGGTCCACGAAGAGCTTATCAACGACAGGCAAACACACTCTAGTATGTGGTGTATTGAAATTTCTGTAAATCTTTTCATACATGAATTCAATATTTATTTGTCATAACCATCAACCAGTCAGCCATGTAGGTGCAACTAGGTGACCTCTAGGTCAAAAAGGTATCAGTTTTCCTCATTGGGTTCAAAATGCCGACAATCCCACCACGCATGCTATCACGGGTTATTAAATATATAGACGTAAACTTGAAGAACTACAATAGTAAACATTTGCTGAGTCGCGGCCATTGGTCTTCTCGTTCATTTACCGGCAGATTGCTTCTTCCGATGAAATGCCGAATATGTCGATAAATAATATAAACATTGCCATCTGTCACCTGGTGTGTTTCGAACTCTCTTTAACTAGCGATGCAAATCGATAACAAGGAGATTATAAATGTGCTTCAATGGCAATCTTTGTTGTTCTTTGTCAAAGTTCAAAGTTACGATGATATCAGTATTTAAATATTTATTGATGAATATTTGTAAAGAATACTAAAGTACAAGTGACATATCGAAATTAAAAGAAATTTAGTATGACACCTTTATAGATTACTATCATATGACCGATGAAGAAATAATCTTAAATGTAAGTATCGATCAATAAAGATTTTCAAATGTGTACATCGAAATCATTGAAAATTTAAAGTAAAGAATTAATCATGTTTTGTTGTTTTTGACATCATCCACATCCAGAGGGCCAGTCACTTCGAATGTATGGGAATGGTAGGAAACCATTTGGAAATCCATGAAAATTTTCAGTTTTTATTCATTATCGTTTTTATGGGCAGTTTTAGATGCTCAAAAATTGCACGAGTACATTACTATGGTGATAAGGTAAACACTCGTTTATTTGTTTCCTTCTGTCAAAGCATGTTTAGTCACAAATCGTGGATTTTCTGATATTCTCCATACTGCAAAATTGATTTTCCTACCACTGAAGGGGCGACATCTCTCGGATCTTCAGTGTAGCTACTACTCAAATCATATAATTAATTGCCGACATAAATCTTTATTTCTGTATAAAGAACTTTGAAGAAGTTTCACGAACGGTTGGTTGGGTGGGCTGATTTTACCATAGGAGCACGGGACTGTCACCAATTATTTTCACTTTGGGATTTGAAAAGTATGACGGTACCCTCTTGCATGGGCTATAAAATAAAGCCCATAACAAACTTGAACAACACATACGAATTTTGCGGCTGTATTGCGTATTTTATAGCTGTCGCTTATTCCGCATGTGTTTTTTTTTTTGCGTTGGTTGTGAGTGTGTGGGTGAAAAATAGCAGACATCAGAAAAATGCTGGCTTAGCAGCCCCTTTCAGAGGAGTAAAGAGCTACAGAGTCGCCGTCAACGCCAATTTACTTCTTGCCGCAAGATTTCACCAATACAACGTTGCTAGTGTAGCCGTGTACAATCGATTTGTTTATTATTTTCAACCATGAAATCAGCTGTCAAAGTGTTCGACCTGACAGCGGTTTGTTTTTTATTTTCAACCAGTAAAACGCTTATATTAGTGAAACTGCTCACTAATACTAACGGTGTTAGAGAACTCTATCCAGTATTTTACGATAGCTTATGGCCGCCACAATCTGGCTGAGTTTCTGGTAGGGAACATAAGATTTGATGTCGTTTGACGTGTAAACGATCAAATCTAAACGTTTATACGTCAAACGACACAACCCAAACGTCAAATCATATGTTCCCTACCAAAAACTCAGCCAGATTGTAGCGGCCATAAGCACCCATAAAATGCTGGATAGTCGGCCTATACCGCTTCCAACCAACAACCTCCCTCGCAAGATCCTGACAACCCCTCACTGAGTACTCCCGAAATCCAGCCGTCAACCAAAACTTGTTTGGTCTTACCGAGAGTCTTACAGCCACCTCAGCCTCCCACCCGAAAGATGCTCAATTATTTCGGTCAGACATCGGTTGCCCCCTGAGTACTGCGAACCCAGCCGATTTTATTTTTCAAGTGAGCTAGAAAACATCTTCTTCTTCATCTTCTTTCCTTTATTTAATATCGGTCTCTGTTCCGTAATCTAGTGCCAATCACCGACGGACATCGATTGCCATCCATTGACGGCAATCGAATGTGCAGGAAGGCAGCTTCCACACCTGCGTAGGATATCGCACCCATTCAACACACATGGGCCGGGACCAACGGCTTTACTTCCCTTCCGAAGGAAGACGTGACCAAAGATTTTTATGCCTCAGAAAAATCCCACCGACCTCGGCTGGGATTGAACCCAGACCCATCGGGGTGTTAGAAAGCAGTAACGCTTACCACTACACCACCGGCGCCGGCAGAAAACATCTTGAAAATCTTCCGAAGTTTCAAATTGTTTTGCTGAAACAGCTCACGAAATTGTATATACATGCTGTCAAATGAACTTTTGGCTCCTCTTCCTCTGCTCCAGAAATAACGTATACATGGTGATGGGAGTACACCTGCCCATAAAGCTCATATGACTCTAATAAAGTTTGATTATATTCTTGTGTCAGCAACCCAGTTTTGGCATTATTAATATCAAATAAAAACACTTTTTCGAGCATCACGCTCGATGATTTACATTATCCGCCTACTAAGGTTGATGTTTCGACAGTTTCAAAATTATAATTCTTAATTTGTTTTCAGTAGGTGGCAACACCTTTACTTGTGGTTAAAAAAGTAACTACCTACGTGACTTCAGAGCTCTTTTGAATGTTTGGCTCCCGTTTGACAGTTTGACTCGGCTCCCAGATGACAAGCATTTTGAGTTAGTTCGCAGTACTCAGGTTGCACCTATTTGGACAGAACCCGTCATCCAGGTTGCGATTCGTGAATTCGAAGCACCCACATTCCTCATCGAACTCTGAAGAAATCTAAAGAGCCTGAATTTATAAAGAGACGACATGTCAACATTGGAACAATCGATTATCTTTCAAAATCATATGATAAGTTATCCCAATCGAGCAGAAGACCTGTCAAATTGATAAGATGTCGCCTCTTTACCCAATTCAGTCTCTTTAACGAAATCCACCTCAACATCTCGAAACTGAGCGTTTATAAAGACCAATGTTGTAACCGTAAACAATGGCTTCGTTCTTAAATTTTCCTAATTCAAAGTCTATACATGCAATACACTAATTCTATCCGATAGGGTGACTCTACCTCTACAAAATCATTGTGATATCACCGACAAACCGACATGAATGACCATACAAAATATACTATATATCATCATATTTCAGATCAAAGCACAAAACTGACAGCTGTCGCCGTGTTCGCGAAAAATGTGTATCCTAGCCACGAACACACATACAAAATGTATGGGTTGGTTCGTGTCTAATCTATTTCTGTGGTTTTGACAGATAGGATCGCTGCACATTTGAATCCGCCGTTATGGATTCTTGATCAAGAGTTAAGTTTAAGTTTCATGTCGGTTTATCGGTGGTGATATTTTACTTGAGCGAGTTTTCATCTTCGAGAAATTCGCGGAAGAAGTCATTGTTTACGTTTGCGACATTGGCCCTTATAAAAGAGCAGCAGAGAGTTGTTAGTTGCTATGATAAATAATCTGTCATGTGATAGATAGAAATGTGACCCGATATATTAGAGATGTGATCGATAAAAAGACGATATTATTCATTTTAAAAACGTGGAATGTCCTCAACGTGATTATTTCGGATAAAATAATTTTGCATGGATTTAAATCAATTCATCAAACTAAAAGGTATTTTTGGACAAAATTTGAATAAATCTGGGACTTTCGTCCCCCTCGACAAATACTATAAACGAACAATAACCCAAATTGTCGAACTTTTCCACAAATGGTTTGGATGATACCCTAAACACGTCGTTAAACAAAATAACCATGCAAATTTTATTAGGGTAGGTTTCTGGTCTACCTTTGAGGGCATTATAAAACCACCGACAAACCGACATGACACTGAATTCTGACTTATGCCCGAAAATCTTAAACGGCCGATTTAAATGTGCAGTGATCCGAACTGTCAAAACCATAGGATTTTTTGATCTAGATAAATTAATTTGTCCAAAAAAGATCAGAAACGAACCATGCGGGTTCATGGCTTAGCTTAATATTTCCCGCGAACACGGACGGAGCCAGATGTCAGTAGTGTGCTGTGGTCAGAAATTTTATTGTCTTTGCTGTGGTCATTCATGTCGGTTTGTCTGTGATAAACCCCTAAAACACAGGACTTTTATTATCCTATGAACACAAAACACCAAAATTGTGCACACCCGCCACTTCCCGCGTCATCCTCAATCCGAAATCGCAAGGATATTCAAACCTAAGAGGAAGAGGAGACAACTGACTTCTTACTCTTTTATCTTTATCTTTATCTTACACACGTCAAATCGGTCAATCTCGACCTGGTTCGCGTTTCATGTTAACAAAATTACTATGATTCTGGCAAAACTACTATGCTTGCTCAAAATGCATAGTAATTTTGATAGAAATAATAGTAAAATTAAATTAAATTGTTTTCTGCAAAAATCTATTCGTGAAGGTATTTTTCCAATGGATTTTGTTTCAGTGTATCTTCGGCACAATCGGCACACCTGCGGCATACTTGCAGCACAGTGTCAAAAAAGATGACCCAAGATTGGTGCCTGAAGTGACCTAACCCTTGGATATACCACATTTTTAAAAGTACAATATTGAATAGTCCCAGACTATAGAAGATTTTACTTAGTCCGGGATCTTGTTAACTTACGAAATATCTGGAAGTAAAAGCAAATTATCCAACGCACCATAATCCGGATTTCAATTCAAACGCGGAATCGACTCTGTTATACGCCAGCAAAACATAATGCGTATCAGCGGAGAACACTCAAAAGCAGTTAGCTCCGATATTTTTACAGGAAAATATAGATTAACATTTATAATATATATTATTTATATAGAGCGAAGAGTCCTTCGGTTGAACTTGAAGTACTAGAAGAAATGATGCCCGGTATAAGTAGAAGGTTTATGACCAACTGTTTTTTGCATTCCGTCGATTCTAAACGATATACTAATTCAATCTTTCCCCCTTTCTATGATTGCAGCCTAACGGAAGCGGCCAACAAGACGTTGGAAAACACCCAACCGGTCAGTTCGGAGGGTTCACTCAATGCCGATCAGCAGCAGCAGTCGGTGGCACCGGAATCGATCCGCAATCGGTACGTGAGCCGGGTGCTGGACGGAACCAATCAGAGCGATTCGGAACCGTTGATTGAATAAGAGCGCGGAGCATTAGTATTAACCGTTAGCCGGTCGGATTTCGGGTGCCACACACGCAAACGAGTATAAATTGATGTTCATTTCAATATTTTAGGCTTAGACAGAGTTTTCCGTTAGTTGTGTTATAATTTGTTTGTATATTGAGTAAAATTTGCATCGCATTCACTGCTGCAACCAGCACAAGCGTTATTAGGTAGGGCAGATTGGAAGGATGTAAGAAATTTGGCCAGAAGGATCAGATTGGTGTAAGAGTTTCGAAAAACAGGTATGAGACGTTATTATCAATAACTTCGTGTCGGAAAGTATTCGAGTAAGTGATGATGATATGAAGAATCTGCGATGTTAGGACAAGTAGACTTACTTAGTATATTTTTTTTTATGAATGGTGATTATTTAGTCGAGATACTATTTTATTAGTTAAATTGAAAAGCAAACGCAAAGACTTCATGTAGGTACAGATTAAGAAATCAGTGTCTGTTGGTTAACGTTAATTATGTATTATGGGAGAAAAAAAAAGATTCCAAGTAACAATTATTGTAATATGTTATCGGATGCTTTTGAAAGACTTAACAGTCAGTGAATGCACAGGTAAGTATATTTATGTATGGGCATTCATATTCTAAATTAATCGAACAAACGTTAAATATTAACGCAAAACCGTTTCCACCTTGGAGGAGCACTGGAAAGCATACTAATATTTCCCACTTACACATATCTCACCTAGAGGAATAACTTATAATAACAAGCCTATAATGAACATGTTGTACTGATTGCCAAATTTTTAACGATTAACCACTGGAATATGTTGAAAACAATGTAAAGACAAACAAAGTTACTCGAAAAGGATAATAAAGAAAAAAAAAGATATAATATACCTACTGTATCAAAATGGATGTGAAATCAAATGCAAACGTTTCGTTTCAAGCATTTATTGTGTACCTATATCACTTCACACGCTTCAAATTACTACTGGCCCAGTAAGTTCTTATTCGTTCAATTCGTTCATAAGTTTCTTTATTTTCAGCGGCAGAAGCGTATTCATCTCCTTGCAAACGCCCATTTCAGCCTTGAAGTGAGCCCCGACGATTTCATTTTCTTCGCAGCTCTTGACAAAGTGATGGTAATACCGAAAACTGTTCTGAACGTTGTCCAGCTGCATCCTCCTGTCCGGCGTGATGACCTTGTAGTACAACCGCCCGATGTGGAAGTAAGCAAAGTAAACGGGTTGCAATTCGCAGTTGTCGATGCCGGCGGGGACTTCCAGCGTGTCCAGCGGTATTTTGTAGGATTCGAGAAATTTCTGAAACTTGGAAATACTCTTCTCGCAGAGCTTGTTGATTTTGTTCAACGCATGAGGCGAGGGCCGTTCGCTTGCGGTAAGTGAATCCAGTTTGCTCAGCTTCACGTCCAACATTTTCGAGTAGATCAGAGCCAGTTCATACCAGATCTCCCTGGTAGAAGAAAAAACCATTTAAATCTCCTAAAAAATATATTCAATGGAAAACTACTCATACCTGCAAATAGTTTGATAGTACGTAGCGTTCAAGACCTGGTCCAACTCTTCCAACTGATCCACGCTTCTTTTATACAGCTTACATTGATTATCTTCGTTATCTTCGAAAAACGCCAAATGCTTGTACAGTGAAGCAATGTCCTGAACAATCTTAGCGTACTGGGACGCTTCCGTTTCCTTCGTATAGTACTCCTTAGCCTTATTCAGCCAACTTAACCCGTTCAACAGGACCAACTTGGCATCATCCAACGTCAAGCAGAATTCATCCGTTATCTGATCCTCGTAGACGGACAATCCTTCCAAGCCGATAAATCGATCTATTTCCTTAACTGGGCTTAAACTCTCCGCGTTCTGCCGTTCAGTACCTTCTTCACCATCATCGTTGCAGAGCCTATCCTTGCTAGTAGATAAAATGTGAATGGCGTACTTCGCCCAGCAGCGGGCAACGTCCGCCGAACGGTGCTGGTGAGTTTCAATCTTTTCCGTTCTAACCGTCGGATTCGTTTCCTTGGGAATCACTTCCTCCTCGAAGCGATCCAGCATGTAGGATGCTGCTGCTAGCAGATGTCTCGCTTGGCAGAGGTAATTTTTGGGGAAGTAGTACTGCGACAAAGTAGCCGCATTAAGAGCCCAGTCTACATGCTCGTAATCATTGTAATCTAGCTGCCGCTTCAGAGTTCGATGACAGTAATGAGCGGACTTTACCAAATCTTCCAGATAACCATAGACCTGCGCCAAATAGTACAAACTTAGTGTATGGTTTTTCTCCAACAATAACAATCCTTTTCCTTTCTCGATTTCATCTTTTGTTCCAAAGAGATCCGAAATCGTCAATGGCTCGAAATCCGCATTCCCTTTCACGGTTTCATAATTCTCCATGGCTTGTTCCAAAATAGCTTTCGATTCTTCAAAGCTTCCTCTATTACAGTACAATATTCCCAGCTGATTTAACACCTCAATGTACGCATTAACTCCCGACGCTGTTTCGTTATCATCCTGAACCAGTTGCAACGCTTCCTTTAGCACCAACTCCCCATTGCTGAGTTCCTCCGTGAAAATCGAAATCCGTCCAATGTCCTTCAGTACATTAGCCAAAATGCACCTCACGGTTAGCTCCGCGTCGGACCCTGCATCCAGCGAGTCACGCAGATTCTTCAGCTTGCGCTGCACTCCTTGCAGAATATCCCGTGCGGCGTAGTGCGACCGGAACGGTTCTGTCGGTGGGTCATTCTTGCTATCCTCGTCGATCTTCTTGTGAGCTTTCTCGAACTCCTCCCGAATATCGGACAGACTTTCCTTCGTAATGCCCATGATTCGTTTTTTTTGTCACAAGTTGGATCGATAAAATGTGGAAAACTGCACTAACAAAACTAATCGATGCACTTTAATTTTGGTACGAGAAGAATGTAATCATACACGATAAGGGAAAGGCGAAAGTGGGTGGTGCACAAAAACGGTATTAAAATATCAAAACAAATATTTTGACATTAACCATCAACCCAGTGCAGGGTCCTGTAGACTGGTCGAAATGCATGCTACACCACTCGTTGCGCAGCAGGAAAACACCAACCCTAAAAAAAACCATAAAAGAGAGCTTAACGACGTATCATCCAAACCATTAGTGGAATAGTTTACCCATCCGGGATACAGTTCGTTTATGGTATTTGTTTATTAGGGAAGAACACACGCTATGCAGGGCGATTTAATATCACATCCATATTTAATTTTTTTTTTCGATTTTTTTGACCCCCCTCCCCTCCCTTCCCTCCTGTGTCACGCTTATTATAACATACTTATTACACACTGAGGTCTATTCTGCACCGCGAGTGAGGTGAGGTGACTCTCCATTTCACGTAGAAAAAACGTAAACTCAGTTTGTTCTAGTCACAAAAAATAGGTTGATTTCAAACGTATTCCATGTTTGAAGTCATGTGAAATCAATGTTTAAAATAAAAATAATGTTACGTTTATTTTTAAAAAATATTCGTGTTGAAAATATTTGGTTTTGTTTGGTTTGACAGCTATGCGTACAAAAATACATATCTCGATGAACATTTCAAATGGTCCTATCTGCTTTGATTGATTCTCTTCATCGACGTTCCCGCATAAGCGTATTATCGCTCAACTTTACGTGAAATATATTGTGAATTGGTAACAAGTAATTTACAGGCAACCAATTCGCGATATATTCCACATAAAGTTGATCGATGTTACAAAACCATTAATGGACCTTACTGACTACCATAACCATAACCATTAATGTTCTCAAACCATAAGTTAAAAGGTTTTAGTATAGTTTTCTTTCCGAAAATATATGGAGAAAACAAGAATTTGGAATGGTAATGGTTCTTAACAACCCATTATTTGTAAGGTCCGCTTCCAAAAAACCATAATACATAAGGTTAAAACTTTATCACACAAACGTTCATATAAAGTTCCATAACCATTTCAGTTGAAGTTTAGCAGGGATTATAAACAATTTATAACCATTATCGGTAAGGTCATGTGATGGTTCGCGTTTATGCGGGTTCTCTTTTCATAACCACTGCTATGTAAACAGATTTCGCGCTAATTCTATCACATAGTTTGATAAAGGAGGCTCTTATCTAGCGTCCAAAACGTCAAATACAACAGGGAAAGGTTTTGCAGCTGAGTTATTGACAAAAGAGAAAGTCGATGAAGAGAATCGATCAAAGCAGATAGAACCATTTGAAATGTTCATCGAGATATGTTTATTCTAAATATACTCGCGGCGCAGAATAAGGGGGACAGTCAAAAATTCTTGGACCCCTCCTCCTCGGATAAAAAACCCGACCAAGAATGTCCGGCTGCTTCGACAGTCGACATCAGAGTTAATCAACACGACTTCAAGCAACCACTTTGCAGACCATCCAAACAGGGACGGTATTAAAAGTTAATCCGAGTTGTAGCTTACGGCCATTAGAATCAGCCCTGTACGAAACGAGCTGCGAATAGTTAACGAAGGTTTTTCCTTGTATACTTACCCTAATCAAACTGTTATGGTTATTTTGCTTAAAGGCGTGTTCAAGGTATCATAAAACCATTTGTGGAATAGTTCTATCTCTTGGGTTATCTTTGGGGTACGGTATTTTTATAGGGTATAGTTACGACTATCTCTTATTAGGGTATAGTTACTACTGCTGGTTTTGAAAATACTGGGGTAGTATCGAACCTGTTGACTTTGGAAACAAATATATTAAAAAATGTACTAGCTGACCTATCTTGCCTCATCTTACCCTACAATATTTTTTCGACGGCGTAGAATTGTTCGACTTTAGTCGACAAACCCTTTTAATCGCAATTTTGCGATGACAGCATCTGGTCCCCAACGTAAACAAATGGCACTCACCCACAGCTGCGCCACTAGCAAAACATGATACGTGGGTTGATATGAACCGCAGCAGACATAAGAAGCGAAAAGTCCCGTAGTCAAAAAGCGTAAAGTGCAGTGAGTTAGTGGAATATTCGCAGAAAATATTATATTTAACCAACTGCAGCACGATGGCAGACCTGAAGAAAGACTTGGACGAGTATCTGCTGTTGCAGAGCGATCAGAAAAAGAGCTTCAAACTCGAAATGCCAAAGATTCCCTCGATGTCCACCCCCGGCAGTCTGGTAGGCAAACTGTTCGGCAAGAACCAGGAGAGTGAAGCAAACAGTTGGCTTAAGGACCCCCAGGATACCTGTTGCCCGAAATTGGTGAGTAATTGTGAAATACGATAGATTTTCGTTTGAACAACAAGACTTGTTTGTTCCTTTTGTAGAGCCGAATACAGCGAATTGTTGGATTTGTGACGTGCCTAGGACTGGGAGTTTTCTGTATGATTGTGTCATCATTTTACATTCCTGTGTTGATTCTCAAAGCAAGGAAGTTCGCACTTCTGTACACATTGGGAAGCGTCTTCTTCATCATGAGGTTTGCCTTCAGATGAAAGTAGAAGATAGAAATTTGTCTTTATGTTATTTCCAGCTTCTCGTTCCTGAGCGGCTTTGCGGCCATGTTCCGGCAGATGTTTTCCCGGGAGCGATTAGCCCTATCCATATCGTACAGCTGCTGCCTTACAGCGACGTTGTACTTTGCAATGGTTGAACAGAGCACCGCCCTAACCGTGCTATTTGCCGTGGCACAAATAATTACACTACTGTGGATGATCCTAGGAGCGATCCCGGGCGGAATGACTGGTGTAAAGTTCTTCGGACAGATGTTCCGTAGTTCCGTTTCCAATAATTTGCCGGTGTAAAAGAGAAACGGATAATTTTATGTAAGGATATCGCTTAGCTTAAGAAATCAATATTGAAGAATATAATCCACTCCGGAAGCAATCCCTGTGATCGACGCAGAATTGGATACATTGTATTAATATATTTAGTAGTGTATGTACTCGTAGATCGAAAGGATTTAAATAAACCTTTAATGTCTGTCTATTTCTGAATGCTCTTCACAATTTTCGATGGAAAAATGTGTAACTAGAGGAAATGGCTGTAATGTTGGTCTAAGGATCGATTGGGCCCTACATGGGACATAACTTTTACGTAAGTAAAACGAACCCCACACGTATCAGTATATTGACGCGAAGGAGAATTATTGACAATAACATTGATGATGTGAATATACTTAAGATTTGTTTTCAGAGTAAGAAGCCAAAAGTACACCTTTGGCTTCCTACTCTAGCGAACCCCACACGGTAAGATTTTTTATAACTTTTTATACTTTAGGCCCAAATCACATAATGTGATCCCCTAATAAACAAATACCATAAACGAGCTGTATCCCGGATGGGTTAACTATCCCACAAATGGTTTGGATGATACCCCGAACACGTCGTTAAGCTCTCTTTATGGTTATTTTTATTAGAGACTAGCTGAGTGTGCCCGGCCTTGCTCGGGATTAAATATTAGCTTGAGTTTATGCGCCGATTGAAAAAAAGCATGCTATATTTTTCTATTTCATTTGTATGGGAGCCCCCCCCCCCTCCCCTTACAAAGGGGGGAGGGGTCTCGAACCGTCATAAGAACCTTTCCCGGCCCCAAAAACCCTGCATACAATTGTTCACGCCAATCTGTTCAGTAGTTTCCGAGTCTATAAGGGTCAGACGGACAGACAGAAATTCATTTTTATGTAAAAGTGTTATAAACGTACCGCTTTAAAAATCACGTAAAAACCGGCTTCTGGCCCGCCAGAGCCCTTTTTGCAATATAAGATTAATATAAGGCTTCCAAGATGTATATCACCCGTTACTGCCTATAATCCCAAATCAGTCCCATTTGGAAAAAGTAGGCATTGAGAAAATGGCAATCGAAGCTACGAAGTGCGATTCCCATGTAAATATTTGAAAAAGCATTGTAAATTTATAAATATGTTTTTCAAGTTTAAATCAGTTGCATTTATGCTTGTATGTTATGTTATATCAGGGAAAAATATGGCAACTCAAAAAGCAGAACTGCAACTGCACCTCTAGACCATTGAATTTAAGGATGGGACTGATTATCTTAAAATTGACCAAAATCCATATGGGATTGATATGCGATTATAGGCAGTATTATCAGCTTTATATTGCAAAAACGGTCTTTATCGGGCTTGTTGTTTACCCTAATAAACAAATACCATAAACGATGTTTTTCTAGATTTAAATAAACATTAACAGATTTCCTTTAAAAAAATATTACTTAAGCCCATTCGAGGCAATATGAGCACCACTGATATTTCAACTTAAATTCTTCAATTTTGCATTATTCCTTTCATAAATATGACTGTATCATATGAAATCACGTTTAGAAGCAGCTGCTTTGGTAAAAAATCCGTCATTCACAATATAGCCCTAAATAGGCAGTACTTCTTAAATTTAATTTATTCTACAGAAAATAATTGGTTCTTTTAAATCTTTTTATGGTAAAACTGTTCATAGTTGCCCGTCCTTAAAGCCTCAAAAGAGCAGAATATTCTTACCCGTTGTTTAGAAAGTTTTTTTTAAGCTTTATTAAAGAGATTTTTAGCCTTAGGTTGTTTACAAGGTCGCTCATACCACCCCGGCAAGATGCTCATTTTACCCCAACGGTTTAATTTCTTTTACAAAACGAACATTTTTTAAATCTTCTTTCATATAAGATTGAAGTTTACTTTTAATATTCAATTTGTATTCATGATGTAAATTGGTCTTGAAAACTACCCGAATATGTAATGTAGGAAACATCAGCAGACATCTTCAATACATTAAATTTTAACGTGTATTGCTGTACCCTTAATGTATTCAGACTTCAGTGTGACGTCCAAGTACATAATATATCCATTATGTTAAACACTATTCGAAGTGATGTTTTTCTAAAGGTGGTCAAACTGCCCAACTTTCCCCAAATTGAAATTAATGACTCCTAAACTACCCATAATCGCATAACAGTCCCATATGGACATGAAATCAAGCAAAGATAGGAATGATATGCGATTATTGGCAGTTAAGGTGTTTGCATACCTGAGCAAAACATGATACAATATAGAGAAAAAAAAACATAGGACGTTTTTACTAGTCAAGTTGTACATCGGACATGTTACATTGGACGATTTTTCTCAATGACATAATCAACGAGTGTTACATTGGACGTTTTGTCTACATGATACTAGATTCCCTTTCTCAGATTTCAGAGTAGAGTACCTAACTTTAGATTGGCCCCGCCTTTAGAAAATGAGCACCAATCATGTTAGGCAGTCCGAATGACCGAAGTAACAATCATGTTGTCCCGTAACGTAGGTAGATCACCTTTTCGTGGTACGTTACGGGATGTAAGATCTACCACCGATTCCAGGATTTTTCAGTAATCAAAGGAACACATCTTAGTCCTTGTTACTTTTTATGCCTTGTTGATAGTGATAAGTCCTCGGGTTGCCTGGACCGAGGATGATCTTGAAACAAGAAAAAAAATGAGTTAGTTAGTCTTCATCTATGCGATTCCTAATCTTCTATTCGTTGTTTCCTAGTTTGAAGTGGTTAAGACAAGGGTTCTGATGAATGGTCACTATCGGTTTCATTCTTTAATTTTGTTGCTAAGGAATCCAATTTAGACTGACAAAGGGGCGCGCCTTTGGAGGGTGTTCCAACACTCCGAAGGGTATAAATAGCGGAACCTTTCAATAAGATTACATTATTCGACAAATTTCCTACATGTATCATCCATAATAATGATCGCATCTCACATTTTCAATAATTTATCATTCAAACTCTGGAATTTGAGCCGGCTGTCATAAATTTATCACCATCGACTAGTATTATTTCCCGCCACTAGTGACGCATATATTTCACTTGGATTCTACTATAGATGAGGTGCTGAACTATCGTTTGAAAAACAGTTTTTATCAATTGATATTTCACACGTTGGAGAATCAAGACCGGTACCCCGGGGCACGTATTGCACTCCGTTTCCCTAATATTTATAAATGGGTCGATCCTGTGGGTGTTTCAGTAATATTTTTGTTAATCTAGCATCCCTAGTGCAGGCTCTCAATTTTTCAAATTCCACACGGCACTCAGTTTTGACAGCTGATTTCATCAACAAAAGATTGAAACGTCGTGCATTGTTTTTTTTCTTCTTCTGTGTTATCTCTCTTTGTGGCAGTCGTGCACCGAATAAAATGCTCAAAAAAAAAGTAAATTGCCTAATTATTTACCCGACCAGCGGCCAGTGAGGCATTCGATTCGAGTACGAGTATCGTTCACCCCACCCCGCAGCGGAGGTCGCACGATGGAGTGTGACGACGCTGCCGTCGAACGGCAGAAGCTCGTCTCTAACGACGAGGAAGACGATCAGGCAACTATCACGAATTTGTCCTCCAACGGGGGGCAGGCGAAATCAATCCAAACGCCAATCTCTCCTGTGCTTAGTAATAAGGTGAGTCATCTCTTCCGTGCGATACGGGAAAGTGAAATGATATGGGATTACCTTAATCATTTGTTTGCAGATATTTTCCAGCAGTGAAACGACTCGCAGCCATAACTCCACTAGCTACCCTACCAGTCTGGGAAAGGCAGAGAAGAGCGATGCCCCTCCCACGACCAGGCTGAATTATGTCAATGAACGTAAAAATCAGGAAGCTAAGGCCAAACCAAAAAAGGTTCAAAGGGGTAAGTGAACGAACGATTAAAAGTTTCGCTTGAATGTTCTTAATTTTTGAAGCTACATTAGTGATAGCACCTTTTTATGTAAGCTTGATTTAAATTGTAGACTTTTGTGTTTTGTTTCTTTATTCTTTTCATGTTTCGGTTTGGTATCATTTTGTTTGACCAACAACGTTCCGTTCGTGCTGTACCTGGTTATTGTTTCGTTATCGTTTGTGTGCCTTGGGGGCGTACCAAATTCCCCTATTCCTGCATCCAGAACTGACCCCAAGCAGTGCGGTTAGCTCTAGTAGCAGTAGTAATCTCCCGCTCAGTTCGCGGATCTATCTCCGCCAGAAGGCTTCTGACCAGTCACTGGCCAGTAGTAGCAGGCAGCACTCGAATGCCGCCACCGCCAATAGTAGTTCGATTAGTTTGAACAAAAGCTATAGTTTTACCTCACGGCCACTAAAACATCACTCTTTCATATCAGAAGTACCGGACGTACGGCACATGGAGCGTGCTCTGCTCGGGTTGCTCGAGGATTTTCACTCGGGTAAACTGAAAGCCTTCGGTAGGTGGCTCGTTGCATTCAAATATAAGGACTTCTTTTTTGATCGAATTATTTTTTGCCACACAGGTTCTGGCTGCACGATGGAGCAGATGACTAGTATTCGGGAACAACAGGAAAGTCTAGCGAAGCTGCACTTTGATTTGGGCAACGAGGCGTCTCTCGGTAGCAACGCCGGCAATAACGAAGCTCAATCGCAGACCAACATGGGCAAATTGGTAGCCAAGCTAGAACAGCTCTCATTTTCGATCGAAAAACTCCACTCGAGCAATGTGGAACAGTAGCTGACAGGGTGCTAGTACTATGTTTAGAGTATTTATGTGAATAGAAGAAAAGGAAAAGTTTTCTGGGATTCATGACATTTTTTTTTTATTATGCTTCAATAATTATTGGAAAATTGTGATTTGGGAATAAAACATCATTTGATTTTTAATATATTCATATAGCGGAAGATACTGGTTGTTTATTGCATATCTGCGATATCACACTGATAATTTAGTCTGCCTTCTTCTTGGCAAAGCCCATCGAATAGACGAACCGGACGATTCCCAAGAGGCCAACTCCGCACAAAGCTACGGTTGTCATAAACAGCACCTTGTCCGCTGGACCACCCTTCAGGAAGACTGGCAATTCATTCTTGGCCTACAAACGGAATCAGTTCTTCAAATTATCAATGCTCTTCGAAGTAACTATCAACTTATTACCTGGAAGGTTTGCATCTTGTTGCGCAGCGAACTCGGCAGCCTGTCGGAGATGTACACTTTTGGTTCCGGATGGTGTCCCATGTTGATTGGAGTTCTACATAGAAAAAAATGTCAATGGCTTCGTACTTCCAATTTAATTCATCTGGCAATATAGTTATGCAATCAACGAAAATGCTTATTTCCATGGTTGGATTTATTCGAAAAGTTTCAATATCTTTCTTGAACACCATATCTTTACTGTACCCCCAACACTACTGATAATCAAACAATTTTCACAAAAATCATTTACCTTTACTGAAAAATCAAACACGTAAGATTAATTCCCGAATTCAAGCAGCGCGCGATGCACTAATCCACGGTCAGATAAAAGAATGAGAAACTATACTGCAGCAGATCGCCGTTGGCAGCTATGCACTTAATGCTGTCTTGTTGCAATTGCACTTGCGCTATTTTTACTCAACTGTCTTACGGTGCATTTTGGCAGCGCAACGCGAATAACGGATTCTATTTATTTTCGATCGATAGTTTGAACGTTAGTTTTTACCACAGGGATAGCAAATTTTTAGTTTTTATGAAGCACACCCAGCGTCTCCATGGGAATAAAGTGTAGGTACTAACTATGTTGAAAACCGGTTACTATCCCTGCTGGTGAGAAGTATATGCTTACGTAGCTGTGACTGTGCCAGTTTTTAGATTTTCGGTATAGGGTTGTTATGCCAGGGCTGGTAGTGTATATGCGATATAATAGTGATTTGTATGGTTAAAATAACGAAAATAGTGACTGTAATAGAATAAAAAAAAAGTTTTTTTCCTTTATTTGTTTTCCGTCGATCTTGTTTTCCGTGCTGAGCACCAATGCTACTGACGCCAGAGAGGCAGCTCCCACACCTGGACCCTACCTATCGACCCATCAACTCATGAACCGGGGACCAACGGCTTTACTTCCCCTCCTGATCGGAGATGTTATGTCTCAAAACATCCCGGCGGCGCCGACTGGGATTGAACCCAAGCCTGCTGGGGTGAGAGGTAATCACGCTTACCACTACACCACCGGCGTCGCTAATAAAAAAAAAGTTACCAGTGGTGAGCGGAAAAATAAGTTTAATCCACAGATTCAAAATCATGCGTTGATTGCGACCAGTCTACTTACGACTCACCTATAATCATTCTTCAAGCTTTTGTAAAATAAAAATTGACCTCGACGTTCTACAGGCTCAACAAAGTCCCTTCAGACGTCCCTAAGCCACTATGAGTCCGGGGAACCTCTTAGAACCCCATATATCATTCAATACATATGGATGTGTCAGCAAGACATCTTTGATTCCCCAAATCATCTTGAAGTTCAAAATTTGATGCTTGACCCATAATAATATGTGAGATACATATACTGCCTATAAGGGACCATGCACTTATTACGTAAAATGTTTTTATCCCAGCTCCCCGTTAGTATAAGATCATTGAAATTGACATATTCTATATTCTTCATGATTTCGTAAGGTGTTACTGAGATTATCTGCCTCCCTTTTAAGAAACGTAAGTAGATGTATTTGTAAAATTTGATGTAATAACCCAACAAACAATTTTAGCTGTAGCTTAGCTTAGCAGGCAAAAAATAGCTGGATAAGGCAAGTTTTGCATATTTGCTTGATTGCCTATCCATATGGAACTGTCCCAAAAAAAACATGCTCAAATTTTTGGCTCAGCTCTGGTACTATTTTCGGTCCCAAGCTAATCGATGCACCCCTCAAAACATAGGAAAATCCATGAACCCCTCATTTTATCTGTCAAACTTTCATAGCGGGGTTAAAAACAAACATAGTCTAATACTAGAAATTCGACTAGACGTAACGTACCCCTTAATCGATTTGCTTGGGACCAATAGGCTATTCAAGTAGTGATCCAATGTAAAATCGTAAGTTTCCACCGGTTGGTCTGTTGCTCAAATCATAACATAATATAATATGTCAGATATGAGATTATAATACATTCTCACTAGAAATACTCAGAGGGAGAAATGGGCAGAGAAAATAAAATCAAATTCGCAGCAGGGTTTTGAAGCTTAATTATCTTGCAACCTCTAAAATCTCTATAATAAAGATGAAATAAAAAAAAACTTCTTTTTTCTCTATTTAGGAGATTTTTAGCCGCAGGCTGGAGGAAAAAAAACTTGCAACCCTTGCTAGAAGGTAGCATTTCACATAACATTTCTTTTCGATTCGATGTACGTACAACATAATAATATTTTGCACATTTCTTGGTGCCATTAATTACCAACAAAGCTCAATTAATCAATAGAGTTAGAATTTTATTTTTGATTCTAAAAACTAATTGAATTTGGGAAGCACACGAACAGTGAAGGTGATAAGCTTTCTATTTGATTACAATACTTGCAAGAAATCCTCGGAAACAATCTAATGGGAATGTTCATTTAGCTCTGATTTTGACAGTTCATTTGGTTCAAAACATTCACTCTGCTCGTCTCTTCCTCTGAGGATTTTTAGTTCTCGCGTTATTCTAATGATAAAGCTTTTGCCACAGACACACAGACACAAACTCATAAGTTGTTCATCGAAGAAGCATTTAACGGACAATTTAAAAGTATTGTAGTTGGTAGTACCACCATAGAGGTAACTCTAAGACCAGAAGGTCCCGAAGAAACGAGCTCAACTTTTTGTCTCAGTTCTGGTACTATCTTCGGTCCCAAGCTAATCGATGCACCCCTCGAAACATAGGAAAATCCACGAACCCTTCATTTTATCTGTTAAACTTTCATAGCGAATCAAAACAAACATAGTGTAGTGCTAGAAATTCGACTAGAATGGGGTACGTTAATCGATTTGCTTGGGACCAATAGGCTAGTCAAGTAGTGAGCCAATTTAAAATCGTTAGTTTCGTATTAATTGTTGGTACCACCACCTGTTCAGCGTAGTGCCCACCACAGTGTACTCAACAGATGGCGGTAATGTTTTAGCGACGATGTTTTACAGTGAGAAATATTCAATGTGTTATGTCTGTTTGTCTGTGCTTTTGCAATATGCGAACATGTATACCAACAATTGAATCTTTTTATTTTAAGTCTTAATAAACGAAAAGTGGTCAGGTTTTGACCACTTATAACTCCATTCGTCAATAGTGGATGGATTTTAATTCTAAACAAGCCAATCGATTGGACATTTTTCAACGAATATGCTAAAATGACCTCTTTATCAATAGGCCAATGTTCAAAATTGCACGAATGTGCAACTGTTCCTACAATAACTAAAATGATCACCAATGGTCTGCAAAAAACGCTTTCCCTAACACAGATTTCAGCGTGGCGTTGTACATTTTTCTTCAATACACAACGAAAGACCAGCTGCCCAACAAACAATTCAGAGTAAAAAATAAGCATATATATTGAATAAATACTGTATTATAGTGTACAATGCTGAATAAAACGGGTTGTCAAAAACGAGTTGTGTTGAAAAAAGCTTATTGAAATCGATAGATGTACCTTTGTTCCGTTGTTTGCTCTGATCTGGCTTAAAAAATAACCTTTCTTTGGAAATTGGAGACGTGAAGTGGTAAAATTGGACTAATGTAAAACAACGATGAATAAATTAATCATTCCCACTGAACCTTGAAGGAGATATAACTATAGAATTGCTATCGGGAGTGCTAATAGGTATTCAGTTTCAAGCAAGCTTTCATAGAGCTGCCCATATGAAGTATTATAGGATAGCTCAGATGGCAAGGCAAGCGGGTGGTGATCGGGAAGGTACATGGTTCGAATCCTATGCAACGACATTGTATGTACGTAATAAATTTTCTAATATCTGTGAGGTGTGCGTTCCTCGTCAGAAACGTGAAAACAATCAATATAGAAACAACCGACAGCAAAACCCTGTCTCTCCCGTTCTTATTTTCGAGTAAATTTTCCCGCAGTTGAATTGAATAATTTATTTATTTATTTATTTAGTGATTTAGTTAATTAAACGTTACTTCATCTGATAATCCAAGCGTATACAACATCGCTGTTTAAGGAAGCAATGATGTCTAATAAACGCTGAATAATAAAAAAATCGAATAGGCTGTGTTACAACTCATGTAAGCCGAATAAAAGCTTCTCGAAATACCTTATACAACGCCAAGTAATTCAATATTGTGGTTGAATCTTGGGTTGAACAGATTCTATCATACACAGCAAAAAAAGTTGTTGAATATCGAAACTGCTGCAACCAGGTCAATCCATCGGTTGTGTAATATCACATTGTACGATGTACACAGAATCAAATGATGTGACACACAAAACCGATGTAATTTTTCTGACGTAATATATGTGATGTACACAGATGCGATGTAAGTAAACGAAGCGATGTAAAGAAAAAACCGAGGAAAAAACGATGTAGGGGAAAAGTTGGCTTCGGCAATACCTTAACCTATTATCGTCAGGGGGGTAAACAACGTCCTTGAGAGCTAAATTTTGGCATGTGGATACATTGTGCTTCAGAGCAACTATTGGCCAAATTTGAGTGCTCTAGGACTTTGTTTACCCCCCTGACGATAATAGGTTAAGGTATTGCCGAAGCCAACTTTTCCCCTATATAGGGTATACGTCCCTAACCTCGGTCTAATATGCAGCCATCGATTACGTTTTTAATCATAACTCATCAATGAATTTACCTGCAAACGATATTCTACTGCTAAATGGTATGCTTAGATATGCTTATCATGTCGTTTGCTATCAGAAACCACGAAAAGTTGAAAAACTTACTTTTTTTAAGACAATAACTCACGAGGGAAATGTATGTAATATGGGTCTATTGTCCCCAAATTGGGTCTATTTATGGATGCAACTTCGTCCTATCTTGTTTGATCCTCAAAAAAACGCTCTTGGTAACGTTTTCTGATGTATTTTTTTTTATCACTATCACTGTTAACTTAATGCTCTTCATTCCTCAAAACATTTCTTAGAGAAAATTTTACGAAAACTACATTAAATCACTCAATTTAAAAATTAAAAATTAAAAATTTCGCTTATCGTCTTTTGACCGCAGAATATCTAAATCAGAACATTGTGATGTTCATTATACAGGTTTGGCAGAAAAAATCTCCCTTCCTGTTCGTTCCTTATCATCCAAATGCAAAACAACATTGTTGACGTTACTCTTATTGCTATATGCTGTCAAATGAATTTCATGGGCCATAGTTAGGAACATAGAAAAGAAATGTGTCCCTAAAGTTGGGTCCATGTTTTACTTGTGAAAACGTTGTTAAACAATTAAAATAAACATAAAATATTCAAACAGCAACTGTAAGTTTTACGTCTAGTGTGTATTATCAGGTAATTCCAATCAATAAATGCCATAATCAGGCCATTTGATGATCGTCAGTCAACCTTCCCATCTTAACCTTATAAGTCATGGCGGCTAAAAACTCCGAACATTGTGATATTCTCAACCAGTTTTATTACTTACGAGAGCTGAAAATGTATTGAAATGTTGTGATATAAATTGATTTGTGTGTGGTACACATTTATCAACCATCAGTGATCAATATTTTCCTTATTTTTTGTGTAATATTCCTTAATTAATTATTTATTTGCGTGATAGGCCGAATGAAAGGACTAGACCCACATTACATACCGTAACCCTACGTATACGTGGTTGATTAAATTGCTTTGCTATCTTTTTTCTCACATAGATTTTAATCAGTTGTAAAAACTGCAGTTAGTCAGTTACAGATTACGGCTTCCTCTGGTACTGCGTGAAGTACTGCGCAATGTTGATCGGCATGAAAGACTTCCAGAAAGCATAACGACTAATCTCCGCCGTGTTGAAGGGCTGACCACCGGGTGGTAGGAGCCATGGACCATGGACAATCAACATTCCTACTGAATTCGGGTCAAGTAGAAGGTACAGCTAGCTGGATGGACTTCCTTCGGCACTGCGGCACTGCACTAACAGTATTGGTCGGCATTGAGGGTTCCCAGAAAGTATGGCGTCTCTGCTTAGTTAACCGTCTGGTTGAAGGCAATGAAAAAATCTCGTCGCGGATGTTCTGCAAAGATAAAAGCGAAATCGTCAATAAATCAACTAAAATTTGTAAAAATTATTTCAACTTACAGGTTGCTGCTTCCTCTGGCAATGCGTGGAGTACATTCACTCCCGATCATCTAGAACGAAGTCTTACAGTGTTGCGAGATTTAATATAGCATCAACATTATATGATATTACACAAATTTTGTGTAATATTACACAACTATTTTGGAATGACTTGGTTGCATCTGATTCTGTGTAATAATTATGTTATTGATATGTGAATATTACACAGATGCAACGTAATGGACAATGGTAATTTTGTTTCGGTGTAATTTAAAGAGCGATGTAATATTACATCCAAATGGATGTTATTATACATCTACTTTTCTTGATTACATCCGTTTTGTTGTACATCATGTGAATTACATTGATGCATATTACTTTTTTTTTTGCTGTGTAGATAGAAGTTATTATTAAAAATAGTACAAGTATTATTAAACGTGCAGTTGAATACAATCGTTACGAAGTCGTTTCTTCAATAGGTGATTGTGTGTTGGGCCGGCGCCGGCGGTGTAGTGGTAAGCGTGACTACTTTCTCACCCCAATGGGTCTGGGTTCAATCCCAGCCGAGGTCGGTGGGATTTTTCTGAGGCATAAAAATCTCTGGTAGTAAAGCCATTGGTCCCGGCCCCTGTGTGTTTGAATTGGTGCGATATCCTCCGCAGGTGTGGAAGCTGCCTTCCTGCACATTCGATTGCCGTCAATGGATGGCAATGGATGTCCGTCGGTGATTGGCACTAGATTGCGGAACAGCGACCGACGTTAAATAAAGGAATGAAGAAGAAGATTGTTTATTGGGTAGCTATCAAGGCTGCCCTCAAGAGCCTTTGATGCACCGAAAAAGGAGGAAGAAGCCGCACCGCTACTGATCGGATTCAGTTGCTCGTCGTGAGCCGCTGTGGGCAATCGATGTCAAGCGAGTCATCCTCGATCCTAACAACATCTCGCCAGCCTCATCCGTGTTGAACATCCTAATAACTCAGCATTACTCAACTGTCAGTTCTTTCAGGACCACCATACAATATTGTTGTTTAAGAGTTAATTTTCATTGAACGTTCGCTCGCCTTGCTGCCAGACACATCACCCCCAAAGCTCTTTGATAATGAGTTAAGGTAAGGACGCTAGAAAAAAAGCAAAAACATCTTGAATTTATATGATTGATCGTTGTTCGTCGTATCTCGCGATTGGAAAATTCCTCCAATAAATTTTCAATTTTTTATTATTATCTATTGAATAAACTGAAAATTCCGTGCGTTTTGTGCACTAAAATGTGTAATTTTGTCTTGGTTTCCCTAACACAGTCGTCGAATATTAATACCGATCACGTAACCCTACGTTAAATCTACGTTCGTGTATCCAAGGCACTCTTACGATTTTTTTCTGTATTACTTTTTTCACAGAAAATGTTTTAAAATGTTTCCAACATTGTTTTCAGAGTATAAATAACTTGAAAAAAAAATAACATAAAGTACAACGCTTTGACCACAAGTGCTTTGTTCTATGATTTTTGTCAATTTAAGTGTCCATAATCTTAAACATTTTTAAAGTTAAAGTTTGCATTTTTCATTAGCCTTTTTTATTTATTTATTTCAAAAATCGGGCAAAGACGTTTTGAGATAATTAGGTTTTATATTTATTTTTTTAATTTCTACTTGAAATTGCTAAAAACATTTGTTTGTACATTTTTTCCCAGAATTTTTTACAGGATAATGGCCGAATTTTTGCAAAAATATGAATCATTGCCCATAACAAATTTGCAAAGTTTCATGCAAATTGGAGAAAGTCGAGTTTTTCCTATTCGTCGTTTAGCTTTTTGAATTCCTAATTTTCGCTCATATTTTGCCTAACCCGTTCGATGTACGCGGAGATTTCAAGTATGTATTCAAATCTACAGGCAAAAAGTGTGCGCCCGCCTTTGCTCATTACTGTCTGCGGCTGTGGAATAGTTCTAGGACTTTGTACTGTCGCATGAATGGCCCTTCGCTCATTTTCAACTTCTATTCGATTTTCATACTGCCGTACTCTAACGGAACTATCCACCTACCCTCTTCTAAGATCATCTAGCTAATAAATTATCACACTAAAGCTTCATGTTAGATAGCATTTCTAACCAAGATATTAAAATTATTGATTTAAATATTTGTATATTTAAAGATTTGTTTCACCATTTCAAAAAAAAAAAAATTCATTGAGATTGTAGCGTACCGCGATTCGATTAAAATGGGTAACGTACTCGGTAAATGGGCTGAACCCATTCGACATACGATCATCAATCGTTCGGGTTTTTTACACACAAACAAACAGTATTGTACATATAGAAAGGAATTAAACTCAGAAGCAACTGATAGTTGTGTTCTGGAAGTGTAAGCCGAATTTCCATCTTTACATTTAACTAACAAAAGAAAGAAGTCTTATCTTAAGATTAGCCAAATACTTTATAGAGATATCTAAATTTTAATAATAACAAATATTTTCATTGAATTCATTAAAAAATGTTGGTGTCAACAATATTTATTGTTCGCCGGGAGACTGGCGTTCAATACAGAATATTGTTGAAATTACAAAAAAAAATTTCTCTGTGTTCTTTCAGCTGACCTAACCTATTTCGAGTTGCATGTGCCGGTGTTCCTTCAGCCAAAACACAACCGAATGCGATATGGTTGAATTAGCTCGCACTATTTAGTGCGAATAAATTCTTGCATGTCGAACTCGATTGAGATTTTGACGTAGACCACGAGGATTTTAGAGAAGAACAAGAAGAATCGAATCTACATCTTTTTTATATGCACTGCAAAAATAAAGAAAATTGCAAATCGGATCAAACGGATGTTCATTGAGACAAGCAGGTCGAAGCTCGTAGTCGCTCGCTATACAAAGCGCAAACCTTTATACGATAATAGCCAATGATCACCGGTAGGTGGATTAATCAGTTTTTTCTTCTTTAAATGGCTTTCTTTTGTGTTCTTATGTTTCAAATAACTTTTGAAGATACTATTATTTTTTACATAAAATATATTTCTGTTAAATTAAATATTGTTCATATATATATTAAGATATTTTTGTTGTTTATATACTTAATGTCCACTTTTAACATATATATTTTTAATTTATTTTTTCCTTTTAATTGTTTATATATGTGTGTGTGTGTGTTGTTCTTGCAATAATATTTTGTTATACATTATTCCATTGGATGTCTATATGTGTATAGTAGCATATATTATCATCATGCCATCCTTCATTTATCAGTTTCAGTGTTTTCTATTTTTTTTTTCTTAATCAATCGTTCATTTCGACTTCAACATTCAATGACAGGCTTTTGCTAGATTTGTTTCTTCGCTGCTGCACGCGCAACCGTGTGCCATTTGTTTTCGCATTTATTTTCCTATGCATTTCTCATCACTATCCTACTTTGTTGTTTTGTTTTTCATAGTTTTGTTCGATCAATATAGAAAAGAGATAAGTAAAAATAGATTTAAAAAAAATACAAAATGTAACATTTTTAATAAACAAATCATAATAATTGTAATAAAAATGAGATAAAAAGGTAATTTGTAAAAAAATATTGTTCTGAATATTTTTCATTTTAAACGAATAGAGCATGTTTTAGTAAAATTTATACAATTACTACTAACCCCCATCAGTTATTATGCATACATATTAATATTAATATTTGTTTACGTTTTTCTCAATTGTTAATTGTTTGTGTATCATCATTATCATCATTCTATAGATTTTTTTTTGCGTTTCTTTCATGCATTTTGTAGAACGAATACAAGAAACCTAGATTTGCGTTCTCCTCGCACATCGCTTATTACACTTATTAAACTTCCTCTCTTCCACTGCGTCTAACCAGTCAATCAATCAATAATATTTCATCTGGCCCTTGCGGTTTTTCCCGAATTCACTTAAACCGCCTGTGGCGTTTGATTTCCGTTGCATTTTGCACTGTACTTTTCCACTTCAACTCACGCTGTCGAAAACAGGAGCAGGATGATTATTTCATCTTTCTGTCTTTGTTCGAATACTCATGTTATGTACAAATTGAATAAGACGTTTCCAATAAGGAGAACAAAAATAAGGTAAATGAACAATTGTTTAGGCGATTTTTTGTTTGCGTTTTGTATCATTCAATTGTGCCTTGTTAACATGTATTTTTCTCCTAATAGTTCCCGAATTTATATTTATTTTAGTGTAACGGACCATTGTTATTGTTTATGAATGAGAGCCATTCAATTTTTTTCCATTCTCTAAAAATAATCATAATAAAAATAGTTTAAAGCCATCAGATTTCCATATCAATTGATTCCAATGAAAAGATTTGTTCACTATCAGGAGAACAACTATGTGAAACGTTTTGCCAAGATAAATAGCGTAAACAAAATGTAAATGTAAAGAGCAAAAATAGAACGGTAGGTACGAAAAAAATAAATTTGTAAATAATTATTAAATTATTTTTTATTGAATTGAAGGGGGAAAATTATAGCAAACACAGAGAAATGCATTGCTCATACATATATTATAGATCATATTGCATACGTCCTCAAATGGTTGTAAAACTTAACAAGGTAAAGACAAAAAAAAAATCAATCGTTTGGGTGTCATACTGTTTGTCTATTCTGTTCCTCATGTCGTTATTTTCATGGGTGTACTTTTTGATTTAGTAAAATTCTATCTACTAGTAAACTTTTTTTAAAGAAAAATATAAATTCTTTGCTCTAGAGGAATGAACAACTTTCCACTTTATTTCCATCCGACAGTGGATGGCTGAGGCAGGCGGTTACTTGAATAAATGTTGCTTTCAATGACGGTTAATCAAAAAACAACAGTTAAAACATAAAATTGCACTTAGAACTGTGTGTATGTGTGTGGTAAGCTTTTCAAAGTACGCCATGACAGCGTAGATTTTGAAATAATGGACAAAGTAAGCCAGAAAATATATTTTATTGGACTTTTTGGGCATGAAAGCTTGTATGTTAAAAAAGTTTCGATCTGGTTTCCTTTCCGATTTAACTAGGTAGGTACCGACCAGGTTTGTTTGGCGTCGATGGGAACCAATTTATAATTGAAAAATCGATTCACAAAAACTTATCGAAAAGGCCAATACTGTATTTGAAATTAAAAACCGAATCCATCTACCACAATCTATTTCGAAACCTCATATAAAAAAAAAAAGAAAAAAGCGAAAGTAGTGTCCCACCAGCCTTATTCATATACTAAATATGCTTTTGGAAGACTATCGAAAATATTGGTGCTACTGGATCTACTGACATCTTTTTCAACCATGTGTGTGTGTGTGTGTGGAATTAAATGTTTTATAAAAAAAATATAGATGAAATCAGATCTAAACTGTTTGCTGGTTTTATTTTCTACGCTTTCCATTTTGCATTTGTGTGCTGTGTGTAATAGTGTGTAGTAATATTAAAATCGGTTTTATATTAACATTAATGGTGTTTATAGTTTTGATTTTTTGTTCTAAGTATACTGCCTGTTATAAAATTATAAATAGTAAAAAATAAAAAAGAGCTTCTATGGAATGCTTTTAGTGCGCTGTTTATATTCTTAAGGATTTTTGTTACTTTGCTTTGCATTAATAATAGAGAGAAAATGTTTGCTTGTATGTGTGTATGTGGGTGTGTTTGAGAATGCTTACTGCATATTTTTCTGTAGGTCTTCTGGATGCCTGATTTGAACGTGTTTCAAAATTTAAACAGTACATAGGTTCTTCTAGACGGCGCGGTTCATCGTCATCATCAGTTGCTATGTTCTTTTTTTCCGTTGCATCAGAGGCCTATGTAATTTCGATTCCATCCGTTCCTTTTTCCACCACAATCCTGTCCCATGGTTCGGCAACATACTATCTGTTTCTTGTTTATTTATGATTAATAATACTATAGATTACCTTGTTTATTGGCTATTACTTTCTCTTGGTTATCGTTTTCATTACTTTCGCTGCATGTTTCTGTTACTTATTCTCAAACCAAAATGCATGCAAAACCAAAAACAATCCAGAAACAAAAACGATCCTCTAGTTCATGCGATTCTTTCTTCGCGTGCTAAACCAAAGAACAACTAAAAAAAGTTATGCGACTTTTGGACATATTTTTTTATCACCACCCATTCTTGCGTTGATTCTTCTCCATCGTTCTCTAAGCGTATAATAAGGACACTCTATCGTTTTCTGCTCATTCCTCCTCTTCTAGTCAGTTTTTAGTGAACCTGCACGATTTCTTTTTTGTTATATTTATTTCTCTTTCTGTTATGCTTGTTCGATTCATTTTTTTTTCCATAATTGAGAATAAGTATAACATAAACAATATAGCAAATTTAACATATAATATTATGCGTTGCCCATCTCTACTGCTGTCGCAATTGAACATTGCATTTTTACTTCGTTTTATTACTTCATTATATTGACAAGGACCAAACACTGGAGGAGAACTTCACCTTGTTGCTATTTTCCACAATTTACAGCAATGAAGCTAAGATGTATGACTTTTTTTTTGTCGTCTGTTTGTTTGAATGCAATGTGTATGTATGTACGATGTTAGAACTTTCAGTTTTCTGTTTGTTTGTTTATTTTGTTCCAGTAGTAAATGGTAGTTAGTAGTAGCAATAGTAGTGGTAGTAATAATAGTAGCAGTGATAACAATGACACCAATATTCATATTCAGATTCTTTTGTTCGTTTTTGTCGATGCTGCTGTTGTTGTTTCGCATATCTTTTTGATTATGCTTTGTCACTCACTTGGAGGACTCAGAGTTTCAAGTGATAACAAAGCCGTGAATTGCGTTACCAGCCTTTCGATTGTCCAGACTTTCTGTGATGCAGACAGATTAGATAATTGGAAGGTTAGCCGAAGACCACCTATAATGTATGATAGCAATACACTGCTAATAAAGGTTTGTCTCGACTCGCTTTCATCTCCCGGTAGGATTTTCCCTGTGGTCCCTTCTGGAGGGCTCGGAAAGCGTCAAGAAGAGAAAGGCGTAGGTTGTAGTACTATAGGTCAGATAGATAACCCGATACAATAACATGCATATGTGTAAATTTATCCTTCATCGCGTGTCTACACAATCATCACCATCAAATATATATTTGTATGTTACTCCCTGGAAATATCCAACAGAACCTACCACAACCAATCCTTATGGTCATCGCTTCACTTCAGACAAGCTGCAACAATTACCGATAAGACGATAAACACCAGAACGCAAACAACTGCCTTGCTAGAATCGGTCTCCAGCAGTTCCGAAACCGTCCTAACCAAGTTGCCACCTTTCGGTAGATGGAGCAGTGATTGTGCTGTGCTGGCATTTGAATTTGCGTAAATGGTTGAGCCGGAATGATGATGACTGCCGGAATTGTTGAGGATCAGTTCACCTCGACTGTTGACCACATTGCCAGCAAAGTAGACCTTCGTACCGGAACCGTCCACTTCATCATGCGCCAAGTGCCGGGAATGTGAACCGAATGAGGGTCTATGTGGCGTCAGCTGATGGTGCAGGACCGGGGAAAACTGACCATGGATTTCCTCTCCGTTGAACCGGATGCGTACTGGGCACACTTTGAATAGGTAGCCTACACCAAAGGTTAGATTCTGGATGGTGTGCCTCGTATCGGGTCCGCGATAAACCTGTTGATAACAAATGCAAAGGACAAAGGTAATTAATAGGTATAAACCTGTCGTTGCGGAATTTTGTTACTTACCTCACAAAACTCTTGATCCTTCGCCTTTCCCATGTGTAGTACATACTCGATCGGGTCGGAGAATGGGTTATTCCGACTAGTTTGCCACTCGATGGTCAGTAAAGATGCTCCCGGTGCTGAAACCGTAGCACCCGTCGTCAAGTGAGTGCTTCCCTGTACAACGGTTAGATTACTCACACTACCATTTAATGATGGCGGATGCTGTGGCGAACTGTTGGCACTGCCACCACCGCCCAGCGGTTCAATGTACACTCGTGGCGCCTTAATGCTGTTCGGGGTCGCTGCCGATGTAACAAAGACGAAATCCTCCGAAAAGTCACCCATTCCGGCGTGTTTCGTTTCGACTGCTATCCTGAATGTGTACGGAGTCAGCTCATGCAGTTTCATCACTTTGCAGGTGCTGCGGGTTCCAGTGTGTACGTTCTGATACTCACCGGTGCGATTGTTTTCCATTTCGACATAGTACCGAGCGAGGTCAGCTAAATTCTTTCCTTCTCCCCAGCGTAGTTTCAGGTGGGAAAATCCGAACTGGATGCATTCCAGTTTTGGTGGTTTCGGTGGCAGTGGAGCAGTGGTAAATTTGATAAATGATGAAAACGGACCACTTCCGATCTCGTTCACGGCCTGTATCCGGAGTTTGTAGGAGGTCTCCGGATGCAGATCACCGATTAGCATTTCATTTCGGTTCGGGTTCATACTGCTACTGCTTGTGCTAGCATCTACTAAATTCGCTTCTGTCCTTTCAGTCGTGTCTTCCGACGAATTTTCCTCCAAATCGTCCTTCTCTTCGTCTTCATCAGTTTCTTCTTCCTCATCGTCGTCTTCGTCCACTTGGTCGTTCTTTCCGGCGGACCCTTGTTCATTACTTCTTCTGAACATAGTCGAAGCAGCGTCAGTCGTAATAACTCGGTCGCCACATTCGATTTTGTATTGGGCTATTGGGGAACCATTGGACTGGGGCGTTTCCCAACAAATAAGTATACTTCTGGCCGTTATTTTGTGCTGCCCTAAAACGGGGACATTTGGCGGTGCAGCCGGAGTTTTTTGCGAGAATGTGGTAGAATAGCGAGAACTTCCGGCACTAGTGACAGCACAAACCCGGAAATGGTAGTTGGTGAAAGGTGCAAGATTTTTCAGGTCAGCCATTCGTTGTAGGCCATTATAAACGGTTTGGAAGACCCGTTCCTCTTCCGGCGGCGGTGACAAATCAGCAGAGGTGCTGGACTGTAGGATGTACTCGCTGATTGGTGCCCCATTGCAGTGCGGTTCGTCCCAGATCACAGTTAGATGAGTTGGCGATTTTAGAGTAATGCTAAGCTCCTTGGGAGCATTGGGCGGTGCTGCACCAGCATGGAAACTAAACTCTTCGGACCACTCGCCCGCTCCGATACGGTTGATTGCACGTACCTGTACCGTATACATTTCACCCGGCCTAAGGTCTTTGACCACACAATACTGCTCCTTGCCCCGATAGCAAGAGTTTCGACTTTTGTTGGTCATCTCCACTTCCATCTCGTACTCTAGAATGGGTGCACCACCGTTGTAATCCGGCTTTTCCCATATCAAACAAGCCGCATACGGTGTCGGAGCGCCATTGCAGTGCGGCCTGGGTGGCGCCCGTGGCACTACCGGTTCAGTCGTTACCAAACTTGGATCAGAAAATGCACTTATTCCACCGGGACCTTCGCAAAGTACCCGGATCTGATAGGTCGTTCCTGGACTGAGCCGTTCGATCATCGCTTCCGACTCCTTACCACTGTACATCCGTTCGTACATAGCACCGGAGCTAATCTCCAGATGGTACAGATTGATTTCCGCACCACCTGTATCAACCGGTGGGTCCCACTTGACCTTAAATGCCGTAGCGTGAATTTTACCCTTCACCTGTGGTTTTGCCGGCCGGCTTGGACAGGATGGCAAAGTTCTAAACACCATTTCCTTGCTAAATGGACTCATGCCGTTTTCGTTTTCGGCTTTAACCCTAAATTGGAATGTCGTTGCTCGTCTTAAACCTACGCATTCATAAACCGTGTCCGGTCCCGTATAGATATTCTTATACCCATAACCTTGATCCAGGTCATTCATCTGCAGTGTAAATCCTTCGCTCGGCGATCGTCGCTGCCAGGCGAGTTTGAGCGAGGTTGCCGTTGCATGTTGCAACGTCGGAGGTGCCGGTTGGCTTGGCGGATTGCCGGCAGTGTTATACTTAACCAAATCCGAATACCCACTTCGACCGCACTCGTTGACGGCCGAGAGTCGAAATATGTAACTCGTCGAGGGATGCAATTTGTTAACGGTGAATTGCTTTCCCTTCGTCTTGCAAACCTCCACAAAATCACAATTTTGGGAATTGATCAGGTGAATCATTCCGTTATACTTTCCATTGTCGTACTCAAGAATGTAATTGGTAATGTGCGCGCCATTATCGGTTGCGGCATTCCAGCGGAGCTGGAGGGAATTCTTCGTCCTAGCTATTAACGTTGGGGCCTTGGGAACATCCGGTTCGCAAGCAGGTGTTTGGAACACTGTCGGTTCCGTCGGTGACCCATGCAGCTGATCCAAGTAGACCTGCAATCTCACCGTGTACTCCTGGCCTGGCCTCAGATCCTGAACCATACAACTCAAGGAATTGCCTTTGAAAATGCTCTTGTACTTATTTTCCTTGCCCGGATCGCTTAACAGAACTTCATAGTGAAGATCCTGCACATTGAACGGGAGCGTTTCGTTCGGTGGCAGAGGACTTGGAGCAGACCATTGGAACAGTGCCGATCGGGACGTAATTTCATTCACCTGCGGTGATTGCACGGAACTCAAATGCTCTACAATTGCTTGCGTGTCATCTTCCTCTTCGGGCATGCTGGAAGATTCCTCGCCATCTTCCGACGTGGCCACCGATGCAGTTCCGTTCCGTTGAATGGCAGATATCGGATGCAGATGCTGGTGTTGCTGCAAATGTTGATGCTGCGGTTGGTGTTGCGGTTGATGCTGCTGTTGTTGTTGAAGGTGTTGTTGGTGCTGCTGGTGCTGCTGCTGCTGCTGTTGTTGCTGCAGTTGCTGCTTGCGTACGTTCCCATTTACTTCCGTGTGCTTTCGCGGAGAATTGATTGGCGTTACAATGGAGGCATCTGAAATGGAAATTGATTCTAGGTGATGTTACGTGTGGAGTGTATTAGTATTAGGGCATAACAGGGTGATCAACAACGCAACATGCAGCTTTATCAAGTAGGGGAAACCGGCTGAAAGTCTCCTTAATAAAGATATAAAAAAAAAGTAGGGGAAATGACGGCTTCGGCATGCCAGACTATTTTCGGCAACCCAAATTGAAACACTATTTTCACTGGATTTTCTTACGAAAACACTTCGCTGAATGCATGCAAACGATTCTTTATGCTTTCGGCTTCAATTTGACTATATTTTTACCACTGAGAAAAAGCAATCCAGCAAGGTTTTCTTGAAATGAAACACACGCACTACAAATTGTAGCTGATTTCGAGTTGCCAATAATAGAACATCAGATTTACATGCAGTTCAAATGGAACGGTTGCCGAAGAAAAACTGGTTGCCGACAATACTCGCTCACACTAGAGAAGATTGGAGCTTTGTAAAAGCGTTTCAAAACAGTTTTTGACAATTATTTCGACTGAAATTGTTAGAGCAGCTGGCAGCAAAAGATTGTAAACAAACCAATACTACATATGTGTGCGTTCCTTAGAGAAAAAGGCTATAGAAAGAAGGTCGCTGCTTAGGTTGCCGAGAATACGTAAATTCCCCTATAAATGACGGTGCACAAAAGTTAAAAAAAAGAGAGCTTACAAAACGATTTCAGGCTACAGTGGGTTGCTTATACAGCACGGGTTTGGGCTGACGTGGAGCGGATTCCCCTCAAAATTTAAGTTTTAGGCTTGGGACCATTCGCTCCACACAGTACAATTGCTTCAAAAAATCTTCTCCAGACCAACCTCCCAAAATCTCTCTGTGAATGTGGACAAGGTGGATTATTTTACCGAAATCTGTGAAATTTTACCGAAATCAAAACAGCTGAATGTTCGGTAAACAGTTCGGTGATGTTTCACAGTTTTCCTGTAATTTTTCAACGAATATCTGTGAATAATCACAAAAAATCTGTGAAAAATCACCGAACTGTTTACCGAACGTTCAGCTGTTGAGATTTCGGTAAAGTTTCACATTTCGGTAAAATAATCTTAATAGTGTGCAAGCATTGGAATACACGAAAGTGATAAAAAAAATGCTTTTTAAATCTCTTGGTGAACGAAAGTGAACACCAAGAAAACCACTTCAACTCCACTACTTTGCTAGCAAAGTATCATTAAAGAAGCGTTGCCAGATGTTTTGAAACAAGCAATGAATTTAAGTTATTAAAACGAGCGAATGTGAAGTTTGACTAGATAACTGGATGTATTGTTGAAAATTATGATAACACAGAAATGTATTGTAAACACACAGACCAGTGGCGTCACCCTAACCTCAATCTACCTGCTCAACAACTCTCAAACCGTTGGTTCCAATGGATACAAATCAGTGAAACTAGAAGACCCTATGCTTTTTGAAACTGATTTGAATGTAAACATGACCCTAAATAACGTTTTCAAAGTTGTTGAACGGGTAAAAAGTGAGGTTACGCGACGCCACTGACACAGACAGTCTGTGGCAAATCTATTGTGATAACACAACAATCATTTGACCAATGCAATACTTTTCTAATAGTGTTAGTTGTCAACAATAGATTGTATTGCACTGTACGGTTATCTCATTGTCATTTTATGATTAATTTTCTGGATGGACTGCACTACCCAGTACTCTTCGAGGACTACTTGTATTCCCGCCAGGGGTTGATAAATTCAACAAAAGATTATATAGGGGAAATGGCTCTAATGTTGGCCTATGGATCTAAGATTGGGCCCATCGCTAAAAATCTGCTATTCATAAATTTTATCTAGATGAACGTGTCATTGGGATGGTACTAATGGATATTATTGGTTGCTAGTCGATTGGGGCCCAAATAAGGCGTATTTAGGCCGACATTACATCGATTTCCCCTACATGATATTGTTTGAATCTTTCAAATTGAAAAATTTCCCAACTTCCCTGAGCTTTTAGAGAGTATCAATGCACGGTCTCAATATATAACGGTAGAAGATCATAAGGAACATTAAGTTGAGTCTAGAAGAAGAAGGAAAACTTCGTACACACTTAATTTAGATCACCGAAGTCGGTAGATTTTACCGGGATTTTGAACAACAGAACAAGTCGATGAAATTTTCAAATAATTTTATAAATACCTAAATGGGGTAAACTGAGCACAGTCTGTACAAGTCGGAATAAATTTACTAATTATTGGATTTTTCGCTTATGTTTAAACTTTTGCCCAAGAGTTATGTAGTTAAAAATTTACCGAACGATGGAGGCCTGAATCAGTGTGTATGTAGTTTGCTACTTAGGAATGTGTTAATTTGACATTGACAGACTTCTACGGTCAAATACGAATGAAAACGAATTCAGGGATTCGTGGTGGGTGGTCCGCTAACCATCATATCAGACTGGTATATAAGCTTTAAATAAAGAAAGTTTCTGTTTGTAACTCGAATTGTGCAAAATGACCTCCTCTCTTACAATGTCCTTGAACAATATTGGCAGAGACATTGTTCAATGAAAAACAAAAATTAATCAAAATTCCCGGTTTTAGTTTGTTGCCCACCGGGGAAAGGATTTTAGCTGTACTTACTCAGTTCCCTTTGTTTTTGATTTTCTAGCTTTCGCACCAGCTTGGAATGCTGTCGCATCGCCCGTTCATCCTTGTGGTACTGGTTGTTGTTGGAGTGTGGCGGCGATGGCGAGTGGGTCACGTTCGACTGGGGCGTGTGCAGTGTATGGGTGCCGCCACCAGCCCCGCCAGCACCTGCGTTAGCTGCGGCCGCTGCTGCTGCGGCCGCACCTACTCCAGCACTGGACATGAGGGGCGTTTGATAGAGATGCGGCGCACCGGATCCCGGCCCAGCCTGGTAACCAGCTGCCAGTGGGTTAAAGAACTGCGGTGCAGTGCCATTTATCTGAAAGAGCAGAATGAAGAAACAAACAACAATGTAAGGCGACTTATGTTTGCCAACGTATCATTAAATTTACATTGGGTATTATTTTGTACCTTAACCACTATCCTGCCCACAACATGACGACGCTCTGTAGGCTCAGCAGTTTGTTCCTCCATATAGACACAACGATAAACTATTCAATGTTATTCTAGTAATTAAATAGGATAAAAGCCTGAGTAGCAAAACTTTTTCTTTCGCTGCCTGAATGTGCTCAAGTTCGTTCAGATAGACAGAGGAAGCAGAAGAGAGTCATCCAACCAGCAGACAAATGAAAACTGACACGTCGACGTGGTCGCCAACGTTTGCACCTTTCCTGACGTTCAAACCAAAACATCCCTATCAACCAACGACCGGCACGGGCTCTTATCAACAAGTACTATACTATAACACACCACTAAATAGGGTAGGTATGTGTAGTAGGTACCACGTAGTCAATGTTTATTTGCAAAGCTGTTTGCTGATTTCCATTTCACTTTGCGCTCCCAGAGGTGGTGGGCGGAGGGTGGTTTCGTTGGTTGGTCTGCTGATTTGTACAACAACAGCAACAACAACAGAACATATCACTTTTGTCGGTCGGTCTCTTAGCTTTTTGTGCAAAAAAGAATACCATTCAAGAGGTGGATGTTTAATTAATTCCAACTGATAATTATGTTATTCATGTTCTAGAAATTTATATATTGAACTTGATGTGTGTAGGGGAACTAGGAGCAAGAAGGTCACCCTAACGATAGTGTGTTGATACATGCAATTTCGTGAATATTTATAAGAGTTTGGGCACCGAATTCTAATTTTATAAAATTGTCTCCATGTTTCGTAGTTGAAATTAAAATTAAACCCCATCAAAAAATGTTAATGATTTTTTTCAAAATGTCACGTCTTTTTTATTATTGGGTATCAAGCTGGAGGCTACGTGACAGCTTTGTTTTCAAGACTTGATCCATTTAAGTAAATGTTGCTTCTATCTTTGACAATTGGCAGCTTGAACACTGCATTCCGTGTGTATTGTTTCAAGATAGTTATAGAAAAAACGCTGTGACGTGTGCGCGTAGATACATCCGCGTAGTAATCCGATTGAATAAGTAAATCAGTTTCGACTGAAATATCTAAATTATGTAAGCTACGAAAACCGCGCGAATTCCGAACGCCGTGCGAAACAACCGAAGCGAGGAAAAAGGCTTATTATCATTTAAAGAGTGACATCAAAATAAATGTGACTGCCTATGTTGGCAAGTTGATTAATTTTGGTTTGCTCCCTAGATATTCTACTTATTTACTACTGATCGTTATAGCAAATTAGTTAATTTAACGGACGTATCAATCATTTCGCGACCGTACCGAACAAATTCTATACTACATAAGCTCAAAAGCTTTTGACAAGCTCTACTGGATTGCGTATCACTTCTGCGTAAGCTCCGTAGACGTAGGCGCGATGAATCCGAAAGCCACCAAAGGTTTATCATGCACCAAAACCGCTTAAGGAACAACCTCGAATCAGTAAAACCGTTTAGAGGTGAACATCTAATTATGTAAGATACGAAAATCGTGCAAATTGCGAACGCCACGCGAGACAACTGTAGAGAAAAAAACAGCTTATTATCACTTGAAGACTGTCACCAAAATAAATGTGATAACCTATGTTGGCAAGTTGAATAATGTTGGTTTCCTCCCTAGATATTCTACTTATTTTACTATTGATATTTGTTTCAAATTAGTTATTTTACCGCACGTATCAATCATTTCAAAATGTCGCGACCGTACCGAACAAATTCTAAACTATATAAGCTCAAAACAATTTTGGCAAGCTCTACCGAATTGCGAATCACTTCTACGTAAGCTCCGTAGACGTAGGCGCGTTGAATCAGACAGCCGCGAAAAGTTAAACATGCATCAATACCATAAAAGGAAAGATCGATTTTACAGTCACGTGGGGTTTAGTCATAGATTAACAATGATTGCTGTTTACAAATGTATGTACTTGATCAAAAATAAATAAGTTAATTCCAATGCATTAACAGCATATTCGTATCAGAGATTTCGCGTATTAAGAGATTAATATAGTTATCGAGTACAATAAACTCAGGGGAAAACAATACCTACAAAAGATCAAAAGTTATTAATTGCCACATACGTCTAATTTCACTTATTTTCTAAACTATTCCTTTCCTTGTTAATCTACTTAATGCTATTGGTCTGCTTGCGTTTTCTTATTAAAGTTCAAGACTAAATAGGAAGATTTATTCTACAACTTTAAAGGTTAGTTGCCTCCTTAAGCGGACCCCTTACATACTTATCCCGCCCATCGTACCCGTCCAGCTTTCGCAACTTTCTGGATACAGGGTTCGCCATAGAGTTGCGCCAGCTCGTGGTTCATCATTCGCCTCCATACACCGTTCTCACAAACCCCGCCAAAGATGGTCCTAAGCACTCGTCTCGTGTCCGTAGAGAACTACCGGTCTTATCAGCGTCTTGTACATGGTACATTTAGTACGGAGGTGAAGTTTACCCGAACTCAGGGTCTTGTGGAGTCCGTAGTAAGCACGACTTCTGGCAATAATACGCCGACGAATTTCTCTGATGCAGTTGTTATCCGACGTCACCAATGATCCGAGGTACACAAATTCCTCCACCACCTCGAACTCATCTCCGTCGATTGTCATCCGGCAACACTGCGTTGAGGCATTGCACGTACTCAGTTGCGACTTCGGGCAGCTCCAGTCGCTCCAGATTGTACCGTGGCGGGCGTCGGTACCGAATGTTGTTGGCAACGGAAAGTTTTTGGCGCACCTTGACCATTAGAAGGTAGTGTTCCGAATCGATATTTGCGCCGCGATAGGTCCTGAAGGCGCTAATATCCGAGAAGTGCCTTCCGTCGATCAAAACGTGGTCGATTTGCGATTCTGTCTGCTGCGGTGATCTTCAGGTGTACCGATATGGGAAGCTATGCTGGAAGTAGGTACTACGTATGGCCATGTTCTTAGAAGCGGCGAAATCGATGAGTCTAAGGCCGTTGGCGTTCATTAGCTGGTGAGCGCTGAACTTTCCTATAACCGGTCTGAATTCCTCCTCCTGGCCGACCTGAGCGTTAAGATCTCCGATGACGATTTTGACGTCATGGCTTGGGCAGCTGTCGTATTCCCGTTCCAGCTGCGCGTAAAAAGCGTCTTTATCGTCATCGTCACTTGCTAAGTGAGGGCTGTACACGTTGATTATGCTGACATTGAAGAAACGGCCTTTGATCCTCAACTTGCACATTCTGCTATCGATTGGTCACCACGCATATCACGCGCTTCTGCTCATGTGTATTGCCGCAGCTCTGGTAGATGGTATAACCATCCCTATACGTATGTACCGACGATCCCTCCAGCAAACCTCCTGCAGCGCTACGATGGCGAACTAGCGGACCCTCAATAAATCGGAAAGAATGCGGCTAGTTCCCAAGAAATTGAGAGACTTGCAGGTACATGTTCCGAGTTGCCAATCGTTAGTCCGTTTCCGTTGCTTGGGTCTATGTCGATTGTTCCGGTCCGTATTTACATTGTTTGCTTCCTACACCTTGTTTTTTTTTTTTACGGCTGGCTTGTAGGGCCTGCACCAACCCCCATTGTCTCGCCGGGGGACCATCGTGCTTAACACTGTTTAGAGTCCCACGCTGGCACCAGGACGTTGATCAGCCGCTCCTAACATGGAGAACAGACGCTGTTTTGAGCCGCAGCTCCATGGTGAACAGACGCTCGAAGACTGCACTCTCCGGAGAGAGGAGTCCCCCCTTTCCTGTCAGCATAGGACCAAGATACCACCGGGGTTGGCTATCCGATCTTCCCTATGGTTACTCGTACCCCAACCGGCACCGCGGGGAGGTAGGGATAGGAGTTACTGGACAAGAGGCTAAGGACCCCCCGCATCCTAATTATTTTGTTAATCTACTTATTTAAGTTCGTTTGATGATTATGATATCTCATTAGTCTAATTTAATAACTAATTTAAATCTCTAATTCACCAAATCAATCATAACCCATGCTTTATTGAGTACCTACACTTGTGCTTGTAATCTAAAATTAAACGTGTTTCAAGAACGTTTGACTTTGACCTATATTTATTATATCTTAGTTCGACCCAGGTGACTGGCTTTCTTCTGTGTTTCATATGGTCACAAAAGCCGAGAAGGCATCCACTCTATAAACACACAAACTGTTTATTGCATCATCTCTAATATAAAGCTTATCTCAGAACAAACGGTACGCTTTCAATTAAGAGAGCGTCTAAAAAGTAATTCAATGACAGTCGAGTTTCATTCAAGTAACAATTTGCCACCGTCACCACTTTGCCAGAAACGCATGGAAAGGTTAAACGTGACAATGCAGTTTCCTTGACAAAAGCGGGGATTTTTCGGCGGATTTTAATTCCAAATTCATGGTCTACAATTTTGTTGTTGGTTGCAGCTACCTCTGTTCATTATGTCCACCACCTAAAAAAAACTAGATATTGTTGAACTTTGCTGCTCATAGGGTGTAAAAATTTAGCACCGCGAGAATAATAACAAAATACGCAACACACAACCGGCGCGAAAAACAACGACAACAATGCTGTTTGAGCGAGGAGATGACTACGATCGAAAAAAAAAACAACGTGAAGGCGAATGAACGAAAATTTGATTTTGCACAGCTTGCTAAGCCCGAAAAACACCGGATGTTTTCGGGTTGCTCTACAATAGGCGTGCATTTACAGCGTGTACCAACTGACAATGTATTGAAATTTTCAAAACAAACAAAATCCAAGCATGGGGATTAGGTAGTGATCTGTCAAAATATACGGTTTGCAAATTAATAATTTGAACGTCCTTGGGTCACACAGTCGAGCTGCGAAATCGAGATTTTGCTGTAAATCGCAACAGAGCAAGCATTTGTGATATCGGATTGCTTTGTTGAATGCCGAAAAAAAAGGCCCACACAGTTCTACGTCGT